GGCATCTAAAACTCTGACCTACAATCAGTTATACATGTTACTGCATAATCTTATCTAAGCATGAGGATTATAATATCTGAGTTTACTTTTGAATCACTCACAATTAGTACTTCGAGAACACTATTAAATTATACATACAACTAAAATATCAAATTTATTTCAACTAGACATTATCTTATTGCAAAAATATTATAAAAGTAGTTACATTAAAATTTAATACTACATAATAAAGAAAACTCATATTTTGGACTACATTAAAAATATAATGGCTTAATGCATTATAATTACCCCCAACATTTGTAAAAAAGTGAACAATCAATAATGATACTAAATAACTAAAGTTCCTTTTAATCTTAAAGGGTCTTCCTACATATTAAAATTGAAAACAAACACTACAAGTCACCACAGGTACATGTGGCTACCTTTTTAAGTTACTTCATGAAATAGGAAATGAAAGACTAAATAAGTAGCTGTGACAGACAGCTGAATGTTTAAGAGCATGGCCCTGGAGTCAGACAGCCTGGTTAGCTTTATCACTTACCAACTGTGTGACCTCAGGCAAATTACTTCATTCTCCCTGTGCCTCAGTTTTATCATCTGCAAAATGAGGATAATAATGGCATCTCGCCTTGTGGGGATTTGGGAGGACTGTACGAGACACTGTATGTAAAATGCTCATGAGAGTAGGGGATACTGAATAAGCACATGCTTACTAGCATAAGTACTTGATAAATGTCAGCTGCTACTACTACGACTATTATTAGTCCCACATTTACTAACAGATCATGCCTTTTATTCTATATTTTTATAAAATGTAAAGGAAAATGCTATTCTATGGGATTTTTAATTATTATTTCAAATATTTATTGCACATCAGTCATAGAAAAGTAGTATGTTAGACAGAGGGCCTTATAAACACCATGGGCTTTTTGTTACTGAGCAAATTATGTAACAACATTTTTATAGGACTGTAAAGGTACATATTGCCCTGAACTCCGGAAAAACACATCACAATGTAAAAAATAAGGCTCTCAACAATGACAATGCAGGTAGTCATTAACGAACATGGATTCTATAAATAAAATTATGTTTTGTGTCAATGGTAGATTGCTTTTCAGTTTAACTAAAATTTTTCTAGAGGTTTACCAACTACTTAGGAAGCACAAAAGGTTGGAAAAGAGCATTGTTCTGATGCCTGGGTTTCACAGCCGTGTTCAACTTGGCACACAATAGATGCTCAGTAAAGATTTGTTTTACCTAAGACACAACGACTGAAAAGCATGCCCGAGTTAATACTGATTCAGAGGAGATACTGCCACCTAGTGAAAAAATTGGGCTCATTACCTAGGATTATCAAGTAATACTGAGAACTTTTCAAATTAAGACTTGAATCTACTCACAATACTACATATATATTCAATACATATCAGTATTCAGACGAGGTACTAGTAATTAAAGCTAGGTAAGCCTCCATCTCTACTTTCCACAAAATATAGATAATACAAAGAAGTCACAGACTCCACAGAGAGGCATACAGCAAATGGTTTTGTAGGAAAAAAAAAAGGCTTGCATATTAGACAATTAAAAGCTAATATTTCAGGAAATCTGTTTAAAAGGCAGTTCACTGTAGCAAATGAAAGTATGGACTGCAAGTCTAGACTGTATAGATCCAAGTCCTGGCTCCCATAAAATGGGGATAATTATAATATCTATTTCCTAAGATCACTGTGAAAACTTAAATATATGTAAAGTGCTTAAAACAGTACCAGAAATATGGAAAGTTCTTTGTAAGTATTAGCTATGATTATTATTAAATATAGTACAGGATTCTAGAGGTTGAGGCAGACAAATATTAATAACAGAACATTAACTGCTAAAGTCTAGCTTCATAAATTTAAGTCAGTAGAAGCCGTTTCTCTGACTAGTACTCTGTTATTATGGGAATCCTAAAAGTACATTATTTGTGGTACTCTGTGACTAAATTTTGTATTACTAGATGATTAACCCTTTCAACATCAGGCAAATAAAACTGCCTTCTGAAAGTAAAAATCATATTTCTTACCAAAAAAAGCAAAAAGTCAGTAGAATGAAAGACTTAAAAGACCACAACCTGAACACATGCTTAACAGGGAAAGACGCTTGCTGACTCTTCACAGATTTTGCTAGAACTGAAAGATGGATGATACATTCAGTTACCACTGTGGTCTCATTTGCAGCTTATTTAACTGATAAAAGTAAAAAAAATGAGCTTGCTCCATTTTCCTTGAAAATTGCCAAAATGTATCAGCAGCTCTGATAAACACAATTTTAAAAATCATGTTAACTGTTTCGTATCTTTCAATTTTTATACCACTAAAACATTTATGTAAAGCTACATGTAAAACTTTATTTTCAGACAAGAAAGTTTGAGCAAAATACTACTGTGGTAAAAAATAAATAAAATAAAAGGCAAAGAGATAATGGGTCAGTAACAAATGTTACACTTTTCAATGAAAAATTTAAAGACTCTGTGACTTCATGATTCTGGTCTGTATGTAATGAGTAAAATATTTTAAAGACTGAAACAATGTTTCATTTTTTTCATGGTTATATACCATTCACAAAAACTGTGCTAAATCTTGCACTGCTTGAGATTACATAACTTCTTCCTAAGCTGCTGCTTTTTACAAGTAAGCAGCAAAGAGTTGGGAAAATGTGTTGAAACATTTTGAGTTTTGTTTGTAAACATGTGTTAGTATAGCAAAAACTGTATTCTAAATACACTGTACAAAATAATTTTTAAATATATATTATTTGAATATTTAAACTTCTAAAATATTCATGGAAATCCTTCCTCTACATTAAGACAGTGTAGACATAACATAATGTTCTTAGCTTTATGCATTTACTTTCTAACACAACTGACCTAGAAGGGTACACACTCTAGTAAACAAAAGGGAAAGGCTGACCAACAGAAAGAGTAAAAGGGGAAAAAAAACTTTTTTCAATTTTATTCCATACAGAGATGCTTATCGGCATACTAAAACATATGATTCCATAAATTCAAGTGTATACTGGCTGGGGCATGGTAACAACCCATTTTATCTTGTTTGTTTGTTTTAATATAATGCTTATCAAATTTACAAAGTATTTTCACAGCCCCTGTCTCACAGTACGCTCACAATAACTCTCTTAGGACAGGTATTGGTAGCAGTACCATCTACTAGATAGGGAAGGCCAGAGGCTTGCACAAGGTCACTAAGGAAACAGAACTGAGCCTAAAACCAATGTTTCTGAACTCCTAAAACACTTGGCTCTTTCTATTTACGCTTCTAGAATGGACTTCTTAGTCTAAATATCTACTGTCTAAAAACCAAATGGGCAAACTTAACTGGGCTAATCTAATGATGAACTCCTTCTATCAAAGACAAAAAGTAAACTGAAGAAAAAAGGATGAGTGGAACTTTAACTTGCATTTGTAGTGAAATTTTCAAAAGCCTAAAAAGTAAATTAGAGTTTAAATGAAACCTGTTGTAAAACTTCTTAAGAGGCCGAGGGAATAACAGTGCGCCTCTTTGCTGTGTAACAGATCCAGTTATAAAGTACTTAGGTATAACTCTCCTCCTTTATATGAAGATTTAAAGTAGACGAAAGAAAGAGCTGCTTCAGGATATATGTTTGAATTAAACAACAGATTTGGACATAGGGTGATTTGAGAAATTCACTTGTCTCTTCCTATAATCAGGCAGTGTTTAAATTCTGCCAGATTGTTTTATAATAGTAAGTGGTATTGTGTTGTTTAACAATTTCATCGTGAGCAACAGTGTTCTGTAAATCTGAATGTGTGTTAGAGAAATTCATTATTGCTGCTTTGTCAAATTCTTTAAAACAAGATAAATCTCAATTTTACACATTATTTTCAAATATAATTCACCTATAAAGGCAGAATAAAATCCACATTATGATTAAGACTTCAGATTTAGAACTTAACTCAACTGTCTAACAACTTATCACAAACATTAACCATTCACTCTGTATTAATGCAATAGGCTTAGCCACTCACATTTCATTAATTTAAGACATTCTGTCCAAATAGTCCCACAGCAGTATAACCTACATACATATTCGTATATTTATGCATTTATGACATTGTGCCTAAGCCAACTTAGCAAAGACAGTGAATGATATACATGATATCCCAAACAAACCAGAGACTAGTAAAAACAACCTTCATTTCTGTAAAAGAATTTATGTATGAAGAAGATGGAACTGCAATTTTGAGAGTGACAGCACTACCGGTACGATGCAGAACAATGAAATCCTAATTTCAGGACAGAAATTAAAGAAATATATGAAAAACAGCATAAATCCAAATAATTCTAAGAATGCCATACTATTCCTGAAAAATGTGTCCAAAGTCTTTATTTTCTTATTATTTCCCCAAATAATAGAATAGTGTAATCTCAGTGTAGAAAAAGACATTAGATTTCTAATTCTAGATCTCATTTTCATTGACACTTGACTTTTTGCCTTTTTTATGTTAAAAAACTCTCAAAACTACAACTTACTTAAACTCTGCACATTAGTAAAAAAGAAATACATAGAGTAAGAAATTCACTCAATACACAACAATAAATATTAAAGATTCATATTTCCTAAATGTTACTTATCTTTTAAATTTAGTTACCATATTCCCAAATAACTTTTAGGTAAATTTTGTTTATTTAAATTGATTTATAAAGAAAGTGATAATTACCTTTCTGTGATTACAACACTAGAGCACAACCATTATGTGTACTTTTGATGATATTTAAACTCCATAATAATAGCACTTGGAAAAAATAAAATGTTATAATATAATAATAATATGATCTATTTAAGCTGTTTGGCTTCTATAGTATATTCAAGAGAGCTTTGTTAATACAAAGAATGATAGTTTTTACAGAGCTCATAATTTACGGTTCAGTCTAAAATGTAAAGGTTACTCTAAATATTCTTCACTTATCAAGCAATGGACTTACCATGAAAATCATAAATATATAGAAGAATTGGCTCATTCTGCCCAAATGCACAAAATGCAATCATATTTTCAAGTGGATGATATGAAATGTCTCGAATGGGTGACTTGAATGGCAGGTCAGAATACATTGCTACTTGTTCTCCTAAATAAGAAAAGACATTCAATAATTTGTACTGTCTCAGAGAGTTCTCATTATAAGATTATTCTGCAAACTTATTAAAAATACTTATAATAAGTAATGATAAAGCTCACATTATTTAACATGAAAACCTCAGATACTTATATTTGAGTACCACTATATTAAATAATTATCTTTATTTTTCATTCTATTGGCCCTTCTTTTGCTACTTTTCAGTCCAGCCTTTTCACTAAGGTTTTCAAGGCACAAAATAAAGACAAAGAACTTGGAAGCAGAGAAACCTGACTCTGAGAACTAACAGAGTTGAGCAAACGCCAACTAACAAAGAACTCCAGGGAGAACGAGGGGAGGAATGTCAGGACTAAAACTGAAGGAGCTCTCTGGTTGGGGAAGGTTTAGTGGGAAATTAATTTTTCTATATTTCTTCCAGAGACTGCTTGAGGTACCATCTGCTTTAAAGATACATATGGTTATAATGACTAAAAGAGGCCTATAGCAGAAGTTTAAGGAACCTATGAAAATCAGAACTCAGAAAGCAAAGAATCCAGTTTCACTGATTGCAGGGGAAAAGAGTTTTAACACTTATGAATTGATGCTAAAGTATCAAAATGCAGTAAGAAAAAAAAAGAAGAAAAAAAACCTAAGTGAACTGATTAGTTAAAAATGCCCAAAGGGAAAGATCAAGAAAATAAAAAAGGTGGGATCAAATCAAATGCTGTGCATTAAAGAAATTTTAAAGTAAATTTCATAAAATTCTTCCTGTTGCTAAAAAAAAAAGTTTATATAGTTTTGGCTTTTCTTTTAAAAAACAAGGTGAAGCACAAATGAACTGCCCAATGTAATTGTTTCATTGAAAAAAAATTAAATTACAGTAATTTGGGTAAATTGCTATCACATTTCAGACATCCAAAATTCTGATAGGAATATGTTTGTTTCTAATAAAAATGTATTGTAGATGTTTAACCATCTGTATATCTAGTTATATTCTAAATTCAGTTTATAACACTGTATTTTATGTTACAGTCCTCATTAAATACTTCTGTAAGACCGACAATATCTCATTACAGGCAAGGAAAGAATAAACCTTGAATTATAATGTGAAATTCTAAATCCGTGAAAATACCAAAACAATAAAGATCAGAATTCAATATATATTCAGACTGCAGCTGAATTTTATTATGGGGTTTCCAATTTTGAAAAACATAACTGAGAACGTGAAATCAGAAGTTTCTTGAAAATTATTCCATAAAATGGTAGATTTTATACTTCACCAAAAACAAAACAAAATAAAATTTTAAAGTTCAATGAAATATTATTTACCTGTTTCTGGGTTCCAAACATATACTATACCATCCTCACTTCCAGCAAAGAGAAAAGTCCCACATGGTGTCAAAGTACTATGAATCTTCTCTCGATAATTTGCTGCACCTACAAATTTCCTTGCTGCTAATCTAGAAACAAAAAAGATTTTACAAATGTAACCTGTCTTACCCATTTAAAAGACTTGCGATAGAAAAACTTTTAAATACTTCATTTGCATTTAACAAACAATTTGTGAGAATCTGTTATGTAGGATACATTCTATGATAGACGCAGAATAAGGAAGAGACAGTCCCAGAGCTCAGGAGGGCTTACAATTTAGCAGGAAAGAGAAGAAATGCATCAGCGTAAAATAGAAAGTGGATGTAGAAAGTATCACAAAAGAAGAACAGAAAGAGCTCTTTGCAGATTTGGAAAAGAGAGATTATTTCTAGCTATGGAGAGAGAGACTACTTTGTAAACAGTATTGGAATTGATTACTAAAAAATAAACAGAATTTTTATAATCTTATATTTTTTCCATGTGTTAAATTTTAAAAACCAAACAATGAATATTTGATCTTTGCAGAAATATTAGAGAAAATATACTACTGAGTCATCTATTAAATATGGTATATGATCTTTCAGACTTTTTTCTTACATATAATAATAACAGCTAACAGTGTTTTAGTGCCTATTATGCATCAGGTAAGTACTATTATCATCCCTGGTTTACAGGGAGGGTAGTACATATACTGTTCTGTTATCCTCTTTTTTCAATCAACAAGGAATCAGAAATAATGGTCCTCCATGTCAGAAAATAAAGATTATGCATTATCATTTTAATAGGCATATATCATTGTCTAAATGTACCTTAAGAAATTTTCTATTGTTGGATAACACTTGGGTTATTTCCAGCTTTCTCTTACCATGAACATGATTTCTATGAACAATCTTGCATATTTGTTTCACTGCTTTATAATTATTTTCTTAATATAAATTCCTAAATCCAAGGTTACGAGGTCAAATACTTCTGTTGTATTTATGTTTTAAGTACTTCAAATGTATAATAAACTTTATTCCCCATAAAACACCTATGAGGATGGTATATTATTTCTTCCATTTGAGTGGTGAGGAAAGAGAGGCACAGGGAGGTGGAGAAGGCAGTATCTGACTATACTCAGTGTTCCTCTAGAGCGAAAGCATGATCACAAGTGGAATACTATACTGCTTAACTAGAGAATAACCAAACTCCATAGGCCTGGCCTTCTAAAATCTGGCTCTAATCTCTATTTGATTCTCTCTCAGCATTCCTTAGCAAGAAACCTAGGCTCATATAGACTGACTCACTCTGCCTTTAACACAACTTCTGTTATCCCAGCTTAGAACTTTATTTCAGGTTTTTCATGTTTTCCATCCCACTGAGAACACCACCATCTTGTCTCAATTCTACCCATCCTTCAAGACTGAGCTCAAAGACCAGAGAGCCCTTAACAGAAGACTATAGGATAGCTATCAGCTTTACTGTTGCCATGAAAAATACAACTCTTACATTATTTATTTATATTCATTAAAAAATACATATTGAGTACTTCCTATCTGCCAGGTATGATGTGAGTACTATGTCCAGAAAAAAAGAATAAGCAGATTCTAGTCCTCAAAGATTCCATAATGTAGCCTAACTGAATGTTATTTTGGAGGTACAAACTAGATTATAAACTCCTGATGAACTAATTTTGCTTCTCATTCTCTCACAGCACCCATGTCAGTATCTTGAACAGTTCTACATAAATACTGAATGGCTTGATGGTTAGCCCTGAAAAGATAATTGCAGAATAAACTAATAAACCACATTTTCCTTTCTAAACACAGGAGTGAAATTTTATAAAACAGCTTTCTCTCAAATGTTTTACAGGAACTTTTAACATCAAAACAAAAGCACACAAAAGAAATCCATGCTGGTTTTTCCAGAACTCTGCTTCTGCCTTTTACATTAAGGATATTTCCCTTCATTTGCCTTATTTAGAAATAAAACAAAAAGAAAAACAAGGATGTATTGATCAAAAGCCCTCTCATTCAGATATGATAATAGATCATAATATTATGCCATATCAATATCAGAGAGATAAAAAAGATACTCTTTTTTATTGTTTCCTTTTTATTGTGAAAATAAAAAGCAATTGACTACATCTCAGCCTCAGAACTGTTCACACTTAGGGTCAGATAACTGTTGTGGGGGGCTGTCTTATGCACTGCAAGATGCTTAGGAGCATCTCTGAGCTCTATCTACCTGACAAGTGGAATAAACATTCAAAAATGCCTCTAGACACTGCCAGAGGCCTCGGAGGAACAAAACTGCCTAGTTGAGAACCATGGCTGCATTTTATAAATGTGAATTAATTTGTTACTTATTCCATGAGTGTTTAACCTATAAATACTGAAATATACTTACATTCGGAGATCCATAATTCTCAAAGTACTGTCCTTGGTATGAATTAACAAACGTTTTCCATTGGGATGAACCTCCAAGTAACTTATTGGAATCCCCTTAAATTCACTCTCTTTAATTTCCTAAAATGATTTTTAAAAAGATTACAAAATATTACCACCATACATTCTGTTTAAAGTGAAGCCCTTTTAAGTACACAAATTTAATTTTAAGTCAACATTTTCAATTACACAATTCAGGATGCTTTAAAATTGTTAGCAAAATTATTCCAAGTAACTTCAGGTTAAGGATGAAAATAAAGCTGATAAGATCTATTTCTGGCTGTTACATAATGTCATATTTAATTAGTATGTGTTTTTGTAGTATATTCCTAAACAAGAAGCACTTTCTACAAACACATCTTCTAACACTACATTTTCTGTTTATCATCATATAAGAAACTTTCTAATTTTTATAAATTCAAAAGTACAGGATTAGATTTCAAGTTCTATGTCAGTCTTAGATTATTTCTTCATACATTTACTTCCACTTGTCCTGAAAAAGGTAAACTATATGGTTCTTACTCTGAAATCATTTAGTTTAGATTGTAATTTTAGGCTTTTTTTTTTTTATACATAAGGCAGCTATACAAGACACCTGACTAATGTTGTCAAGAAAGACAAAAACACTGAAGGAGAATCTGCTTACACAAGGCTTGCATAAGAAGAATTTCCAAAAGTCCTTCTAGTTTGGATTACCAGGAGAAATAAAAACATTGCAAATGCAAAACTGCTTAGACTAAAGTCTGACGAGTCAAAAGAGGGTCTGCTTTAACCTGCAGGCAGAATACTGACTTTGGCCACCTTATCCCTCGAAGTTCCCTTATTATTTCTGCTCACTTCTAGAGGGTCTCCTCTTCAGAGGTGGGTTGGTGCCAGTCGAGTGGAATACAAACTGCCACCATCCTACTATCAGCAGCTGAGCCTCTGCTACTGCTGTTTGATGCTAAAACTTGCTGTCAGATACTTTTTAAAAGTTACAGAATAAAGTCAAACACTGACACCACAGATGTGGATTCCACTGATCCAAACTACACCAATTTGGGGGTGGAGATGCATTGTTGGAGGTTTGAGTAACTGGAGCAACACCTGCACACATGCAAATGTGCAAAATCAAAAACAAGGCTGCATAACAAGTTAAGTGTTAGGTATAAATTTAAGAAAGGTACTGGCAGATTTAATGTCTGTAGTATATGTTAGTGATTTCCTTCATATTTTTCTTTATTATATTCATGCTTAAACTAAAAACGTTCTAGTTTTAAAGACCATGTCCAATACCAGGGAGTGTGTGTAACAGCAAGTGTACACTTCACCCTATGGGACGGATGAGCATAACTTTGCATAAGTTCTCTACACCACTGGTTGGAGAGAACCAAGAAAGAAATGGCAGTCTCCAGTCTGTATGAGGGCATCAGCTGCCAAAAAGACACCCCAGCTCATTTCTTAACTTATTGTTTTTGACTATCTCAAGTAACCACCAGGCTGCAGATTTCCAAGGTATATGTGCCTTTTGGTTACTATAGTGAGGTAAGAAAACACATGATTTTTAATACAAATAACAGACACTGTATTGTAGACTCAAATGAGTAGCAACAGTGTCTTTGGAGCCCTGCCAATCCCTCAGGTATATAAGTAATCAGAAAGCTCTTTTCAAAGTGTGTGAAATTAGGCTACAACATGAATCCTAAGCCATCATTCATTAAACTGACAGACTAGATGAGAACGGCTGAAAATAGACTAGACTGGTTTTTAAACAGATCTGATAGACTCAATAGATTTAACTAAAGTTCATGGAAATTCTTTTTCACAGAGTGTCTTTTTTTCAAATGAGGACAATTGTTATAATCAATTATGAAGAACAAAAAAACTGAACAGAAGTATAGCATGTAAGACAAAAACTGTATCAATTTATATAAAACAAATTCAGGTTTAATGATTTATTCTGTATTTTTAACTAAAAAATACTAAATACACACCAACAAAATTGCTTAGTACAAACCCATCTTAAAAATTAAAAACACCTTACTCCCCAAATGAGATTATCCATTTCTGCTGATTTAGCAAATTTCAAATGAAATAATTACTGTGATTAAATGATAGACTCCCCCTCATACTTACATAATTTTGAGAAATAGCACTGTTAACAAACCTTGAGCAATTTTTTAGTGATGTTATTGGACCAAGAAAAAAAGAATATGAATAACAGAAAATATGTTATTACATATAGTTGGTATATAACATATACCTCATTCTGCATAAATTTCAGTAATGGATCCCTGAATATCACTGCGCAAATGAGGGCTCAAAAAAAAAAAAAAAAGTAAAACCTGGCCAAAATGAAGAAAATTTTCACTAAGGTGCTATATTATCAATTAGCCATCAGGAAGACATGATAATCAATGGTAACTGATTTTTCAGGGACTGAGAAAAACTTAATTTCTTTGAAAAGAGTAAACAGAATGTGTTGACATCTTAAAGTCATGCGATCTGATTTTTTCCAATTTCTTTAATCCCCAAATTTGAAATGACCTTATACCTTATTTACACTCCAGTGGCGCACTGAATGTTGCACATCATTAACTTTGACGTACGTGTTCCAAACAACAATCACCCCTGTGCAGTCTCCTGAATACATGTGATGGCCTATTTAAAAAAATAAAGTTACTCACATATCAATATTACACGAAGGTAGAAACAAATATTATGAAATAGGGAAACTATACCCCAATAAAACAAAGAACTGGAGGGCTATTAAAAGGTATTTGTTAAAAAAAATTAAACAAACGCAAATAGTTTTTAAAAAGGCATACAATCAAAACTCAATTAAATTTAAATGAATTCTTCATTCTTTTGAATTATTTTTGATGATTTATTTCCCTTTGCCACCTACCTGAATTTGAAAACAAAAAGAAACAAGCATCTCAGTACATGTGTACATGGCTAAAACTTCAAAGCCAAATAAATCATTTGAATTATCCAATATGATCTGTATTGCTCACCTTTGTTAACATATATAACCTATTTTATATTCCTAGAAAAATACCTATATTCTAATATATACAGTTGGCATGACGTCTGAGACCTGGTAGGAACTCAATAAATGATCAGGGAATGAATAAAACTATTAAGTAACAGGTGTTCCAGTTTAACAACAATTCTTAGAGTCAACCTATCTTACAGCTGAATGGGACCTCAGAGATCATCAAGTTCAACTTCACACCCATTCAGGAATAGTCTGCAAACCATTACAAACAGATGGTTGTTCAGCAACTGTGAATTTAATATTTTACAAAGCAGCTTATTCAACCGATGAACTGCTCTGTATGTTAGAATGTTCTTTCTAATTCTGAGCGAAGAAAATAGGTCTTCTGCAGCTCAGGCCCTATATTTACCTACCGAAGAAAAACAGACTGACCTCTTTTTTTCACATCTTACCAAATATTTGAAGAAATTCTTCACCTCCTTCATAATCTGAGCTACTTCTATCATGGCAGAGTCTTCAGACCCCTGTCTATCCTTGGCTGACCTGTCCCGAGTGTGTTTCACCTTATAAACATCCTTGCGGCTAGAATGAGTACATTAGCAGTATTATCATTTTGATCTAGATCCCATACTAATTAACTATAGCTACAGACATGTAGTGTCTGAAATAATGTAAAGGTGACTGTGTTTAATAGATATAATGAATTTCTTTATTCTTTCAGCTGATAATCTATATTTTATGTCTTTAAAACACCATTTACAATACTCATAGTCTAAGATTAAATCTTTAAATAATTATAAATTTCCCTTCTGTATGTTTCTGTACTTTAAAAAAAAATCCTGCTGCTATAAATAAAATATATATTTTCAATATTCTTTTGGGATTTTCCCCTCATCTTCCTCATTTTATCCTTAACATAAAAAACCCCCTTTAAAAAAACCTACTAAGGGAATAATCACCAATCCAATAAAATGTATTTATGAAATTTAGAACAGGACTGGTTGTTACAGCAAAGATTAGTTGAATCTAAATGTTGAGGAATTTGCTGACGTTATAATTACTAACAGAGCTCCCTCAGTGCCAAATCTATGCCTAGGTCTACCATATGATCTGCAAAACATGCATAAATCTACATATGCACTAACATATTTAATTTTATTCAATACACAAAATCCCTCTCAAACTTAAATAATTATTATCCTGTAAAATAAAAAACATTTTTAAAAATTTTCCTTCAACTAGACTTCAGCTGGAATATACCCTCTGACATACCTTCAATATCAAAACAGAGAGAGTTGATGAAACTCTTGTGAGTGTCAAATTGTCGGATCAGTATGGCAGGATCCTCTCTCATATCAACTTTCCATATACGTATCACAGAATCATAGCATCCTGTAACCACCAGCTCTTTCACAGCTGGATGGAATTTAGCCGTGTAAACAAAAGAAGGATGAGGTAAAACTCTGAAAGTATTTGTATTGTTTATTTCATTTTTCCATATCCTGGAAAAGGATAAAAAGTTATATATTGCTCCTGAAAGGCAGATGTTTCTCCAAGAACCAATATAGGCAGTGGATTTGATAAATAAGCAAGTGACAACAACTAATAGTAAACTAAATTTTATAACAATAAAAATAATGTGATCACATTATTTGATGGCCAGAGTTCTTTCCATTTTGACAAAGCTATTTCTTATAGTTACTATCAAGCATAATAATTAGATTGCCTACTAACTGTAATCTATACTGCAAAATGAAAAACTGTATTTGTATTTAGAAATGTCTGTATTTTTAAACCTATTTTTTGACATTGGTTAAACATATATTGAATAGTTGGTAAAAATAGTGCATTTAATAAAATACATATAAAAATAAATAGGAGGAGAAATTTCAATGATTTCCCACTTAAGTTGTATATAATTGCTTTTGCAAAGTGCTTACAGTTGAGGTTTAGAGAACAGGATACTCTATTAACTTTTCACTCGTAATTTCAAAGCCTACATAATGAACGTATCTCAGACTTAGAAGCCATACTGAAATTACCATATAAATACTTGAATAAAATAACATTAAAATAATTAGAATATTTTGATAGAAAACACGCTATTGAGCACTCACTTTATGTTTAATACTCTTGTTATCTCTTCCTCTAAATAATAGGTGATTTAAAAGAAATTATTATTACTGTCATTGCTACAGCTTTGACAAGAGTAAATTCTAAGTTAAAGTGTCATGTTAGATATTCTGCATTTCTAGTCAATGTGTAAAAAGGAAAAATCTAGCAACAAACAGGAGCTTTATGAGTGTGAAGCACTCGAGTTTTAAAAATTTAAGTTATCAGAATTAGAAAAATCTATTAATTTTTAATGTGAGGATTTACAATTCATCCTTTTAATTACTAAGAACTGAAGCAAATTAAGCCCTTTCCAAATTACTGAACAAAGAAAAAAATACAGTTGCTATTCAAGAATAACATTCTTTAAGTTTTCTCAGCAGCTGCTTAAAATACAGGATATGATCTTCAATTACTAAGAATCAAAACTAATAATGAAGGAAGTGAAAGAACATGTTTTCAAGTAAAAGTAAAGCACGTGTGTCACTGCATAAACATTTTTACTAGTAACACTTTCAATGAACATATGCTACATGAAACATAGTACTTATTGAAAGAACAAAATCACTAACTTTTGGAGGAAATATTAAGAAAACTGCTAAAAGATAAACATTGTCTGCTAATAAATCTTAGTAGCATTATCTGAAATACTATGAAACAAGCAGAAATGAAGCAACTGTATCTTAAAAACAGCTCAATATAATTAAAACACACAATATTTTAAAAGAATACAGCTTTTATGTAAAAGTCGAACTGGTATCAACGATGGCTTTAGTCACCCAAGCAGTGGTAGAATCCAAGATCAAAAGAAACGCATTAATGGATTTGTCAAAAAAAATCAGGTTGATCATAGACAAAGAACAATGATATACAAATTCGTAAAGACTAGATGAACACAAAAAATTATTAGAATTAGGAAAGGAAAAAAATATACTAAAGTTAAAACAGTATGTGTGCAGAGTGAGGACATACGGATCTATTTGGGAACCATCATATGCAGACAAGTCTTTCTGATTATATTAGGAGCTAATGATCTGTATTGTTCTCCAATTACACTGATGATAACTAAAGGAGATTTAGGTTAAATCCACATGGCAGAGAGCTAACCAGTAGGGAAAGGTTACTCAGGATACTAACAATAACATGTGACGGGGACCCCAAGGGAAGAGAGAAAAAGACCTGGGCAGAAACCCAACTTCTTGTCACTTTTGAGCGTTAGCGACTCTGATTCTCTTCCTTTTAACTTAGGTTACTCATTAAAGGTATTCCTTACCTCTTTCAAAAATCTCACTGTCTTTTCGGTTCTAGTCACATTGTTTATCTCCTTGCTCAGTTAATCTTTCACAATATTATTTTTAGGATATAAAGAATCCTAAAGTAGTATCAATTTCAAAGCCACATAAAGAAAAAAGTATACTTTACTGAAATATATGTTGTGTGATGAAATCTAAGGTGATTTCAAGAAATGATAAATCTAAGCTGGATTTTAAATGATCACTATGAGCCCACTCTGGCTTATCAAAGGCACTTAGATGTTGTTGAGTGAATGAGTTCGGCAGGAAGGGGAAGAAAAGGGCATTTAACAAAGATTAGATGTTAAGGGTATTTCGAAAGATCACATGGGTGAGGCAGAAGGTACATGGGAGGTGCACAGAGAAGATGTAAGGTCAATGAGGGTCATGCTTGTCATGACATGCTAAGGAACTGGAACATCTTCCAAAGGGCAGTGGTAATCGATTTTTTTTTAAATCAAGGCGTTACGAAAGATGGTTTTGAAAAGATAATTTTAGCATACCAAGGACAGGGGAGCTAGAGACTGAATACTGGGAAAGCTTAGCAACAACAGTTTAAGCAAAAGATAACTAACAAGGGCTTGAATTAAGGCAACAGCAGCGAGGTCAGAATGTGACAATGTGAGCCTCTCAGGAGGCAGAACTAACACACTTTAGAACTACTTCGATGTGGAAAGGAAAGAAGAGATGAGAACTACTCTTGAGTTCCCAGCTTGGGAGACAGGCTGGGTAAGGTAAGTTTTGTTTTGGATTAGAGATGCCACTAGGCAATCCAGACAGAAGTTTGTAATACAAAGTTGAATTTGGAAAAAGTGTAGGAGCTAGAAATCATTAGCATGTACGTGACAGTCAGACCCAGGGAGATAAGAGAGACCAGGATAAGCACACCAACCTACAGAAGACATTGAGTAAAGGGTCCTGGGGATGAGCATTTACAGACAACAGGCAGAAGAAAGGGAAGTGGAGAATGAGAGTGAGAATTGGTCAGAGTGAAAAGAAGAAAACAGAAGAGGTTGTAAAATGAAACCCATGACTTGAAAATATTTCAATATTTATATATTGGTCAATAATTACTGCAGTAAAGGCAAACAGGGTTAAGGACTAAAACTAGACAGCAGATCTAAAAATTAGTAAGAAACTGGAGATCTCTCAAAAATAAGTTTATGTAAACTCACGGTGGAAGTGAAAATGAGCCTAACTGGGTTGAAGGAAAGACAATGTGAGCAGAATGCTCTTGATGGTATAGAAAGAAAAATAATGTGGTAGTCTGGAAAGCAGGGAGATTTTCTTAAGGAGACTTAATCATATGTCTAAGATGAGAGGACATAATCAATAGAGAAAGATACTAAAGAAACAAGAGAGATAGGAAATAAAAGTAACAAGACTATGGATTGAAAGATTTGAGATTAAAAGCACAGGTCAAAGATTACTCCACACTTCCTTGTTAAGAGAGATGTACAGAGATAAAGACTGGTAAATTTATGAATATTAGGTAGGAAATCAGAGGGAAATATAGGACTTTCATGTCTGGCTAAATTTCACTGTAAACCGAAGGTAGTCATTTAATGAAAGTGGGAAGATTGTGTTTTAGTGTAGAGAACTTGAAGAGTCATGTAGTTTGGATCTGCTGCTGGAAGAATGAGAAAAGATGGCTAAATAAAGATAAATAAAAGGATTGCTCAGCAGAGATGAGAGCTCAGGTGATTTTAAGACTTACAAACCCACAGACAGATCTTACCAAGGTTATGTATTTTTCTCTAACATAGCCGTGCATCAGACAGAATGGTTATGCTTGAAAGAACAGAGAAGCCAGATGTGTTATTGGGGATATTGTTAAGAGGGACTAAAAGTAGGTTCCCAGCTAGCCAGAAATCAGGTCTTCATTTAAATATAAACTAATCAGTAATGATAACATCTTAATCAATTAGACATTTTATACTGAAAAGGATGCTGATTAATAGAAGATGGGAGCTAGACGCTAGAGGTGTCTTCAAAGAGCATGTGTTAAAAGAGCAGGAAGCAGAGTAAATAAGGGTGAAGTCAGAGTGGACCTCAAACTGCTCTCAGTGTCCATAGTTATAGTACTTACGTGTATCCACTTACATTTGTTGGAATCCAATTAAGTGACATATATAAAAGCATCTTGAAAATCTGCCTAATAATATTTGTAGAATACACCCATGGTAAAACAATCAGCCAAAAAAGTGTAAATAAAACTTTAAAAAGTAGCTTTTAAATATTTTATTGTGACACTTATTAAATTGAAAGGAGTTGAATTATTTTAAGACTGTCATTCTGAAAAGTACAAATATCTGACAATCTATTAAGCTCTTAAAACAAAAGATGCACATTTGTGTATTGATCCTATACTATGCACTGAGCACCACCATGTCCTGGCCTCTGCATCTGGCTAACAGTGAAGATGGAATCCCTGCCATCAAGAGCCTATATTCCAAGAAAGATCTCAGCTGTTTAATAAACCTCATGTCAAAGTATTAACTGAACAGCATATGTAATGATCATTTAAAGACAGTGAGGACAAGAAACATTATGTATTACATAAATGAAATATATTTAACAAAAATGTCTTTAGGAAAAAAGTTTTCACTACTTCTAACTTAATCAGTGGACCTGTATGATGCATATTCAAGACAGTCCCTTGATAAGCAAGACATAATTGAAGCATAAGAGTAATTACACCACTTTATGCTCCCTTTGCTTTCCTTGAGGACAAACGTCATACACAGTGATTATTTCTCAAGTACACTAACCTGGCAGTGCCATCAGACGATGCAGTAAGGATACAGCGATCATCTTTTGACCAGCAAAGATCATAAATGATATTGAGATGGCCACACAATTCTCTCATGAAACGTCCAGAAGGAATTTCATACACTAATGAAAGTATCAAAAAATTAGTATGTTTCCAGACAGAGGATTCTTAATCCAATAATATAAAGATGCATAATTTATAATTTGTATATAAGGTAAGCACTAAGAATATTACACCAAAGACATTTTCATCATAAAAAATTCAAAATCTACTTAAAAATAATTTTTCATTTGCTTTAGACACAAGAAATTACATACATAAAATTTTATATGTTTACAATTAATTATTCTCATCTCTTCATTGCTATTCTCCCAATAATCTTTGATAATTAATTTATTAATTAAATAACTTTTAAATTGCAATTCACTTCAAAGATTCTGTAATTTGGGCTTCATGAATAAGGTATTATTTTATCTGAAAATCAATCAAATTTCAAACAAAATTTAATTATTTGAAACAAAAAAAAATTTAAACTGCACTATTGCTAGAAAAAATTCAAATCCTAAAAAACGATAGACATAGTAAGAGAATTAACAGAGATCTAAACTTATAAACAAGGCATTTGTGGTATCGCTATGTTATGTATACATGAAATCTTCTAAGATAATGACAACACAGAACAAGGTTTCTAAGTCTCTACTTCCACCTAGTGGTAAAACCAATTGTCCTTTAAGCAGTACAGAACTGGAACCGGAACAGTAAAATAAGGACCTTAGAAAATCTGCAACCCCTTATAAGCAATGAGAACACTGGCTAAAAGTGTTAAAATTAACTTTTTCAGAATGCTGGAAATTAAACAAAGGCTCACAACAATCTGAGGGACATTTATTCAAGAAAAACAATTGAATCTTGGTAAGAACACTGAGCTCTGGGGTGTTTTAATTTGACCCTGTTCCCTTTCTAAAGAAAACCATGTTTAAAGAATAAAGGTGTGAGGATGATTTCTCACCAATAAACAGAGATAGAAAAAAAACCCAAAAAACAAAAAACAAAAAAGAAATTCTGGAGTTGAAAAGTACAGTAAGTGAAATAAATAATTCAATAAAGAGGCTCATAGCAGACTTGGACAGGCAGAAGAATCAGTAAACTTGAAGATAGGTCAATTGAAATTACGCAGTCTGAGCAACAGAAAGAAGAAGAATGAAGAAAAATGAATAAAGCTGCAGAGATCTAAGAGAGGCCACAAAGTGTCCCAACACAGAAATGGGAGGAGTCTCAAGAATTGAAGCAACAGAAAGAAGAAAGAATTGTTCAAGAAATAAAGATGGAAAACTTTCCAAATTTGTGAAAAACATTAATCTGCACATCCTACAATCTAAATGAATTCCAAGTAGACACATCATAATCAAACAATCAAAAACCAAAGACTAAGATTATTCTTTTCCTTTTTGAGGATTAAGCAGTAATTACATCTAAATTCATATAGCTTTTTTTTAAGCTGAGGTTAACACATATTTATCATAGAAATGTTAAAAACATATAAATCAGAATGAAAATAATTTTTTTACTGCCCAGTGCACAGTGAAAAGAAAGAACTATTAATATTCTGGAGTATGTTTCCTAAGCCTCTTTTTACCCCCAGTGCATACGTTTTAGAGAATTTTTAAAACAGCGTAGTTGTAATCAAACTACACAAACTGTCTTTAAGCTAACAGTGAGAAGGAGTATCTATTTAATAGATGCTAACCAAGCCAGTTATGAGTCCCTGATGGAAAAAAAGGAATCAGCCAGGAATAAATCGTGCTAAGCCAAGAAAATTCAACACCAGTGCTTAGGGCAGACGCCCATGGAGAAGTAGCTGCTTCCTGCTGAGGTGAGTTGGTTTTCATGATTAAATAAAAAGTAAAGGGGAAGCAGTTAAAGTCTCTAAGTCTAGAAGAGCATAATAATTCTCATTTTAAGGGTATGATTTTGGCCTCTCTGCTGACTTCTCTAACATAATGAGAATTTTTCATCTAGGATCTCCAGAATCCATTATAATCGTTCTAGTGCATAACAAATTTGAGGACTTTCATAATCAAATTATCGCTGCTGTCAACCAACTTGTTAATCCTTCATGTTGCAAAATTTCTGTATTTAAAATGGAAAATGCTTTTAAAAAATCTTCCTGTGTGTTTTAAAAACAGATTTACCATCCTTCATGCTCATCCTCATTCCACTTCTGAACATACATTGGATAGAAGAGTATAAATTATAAAAGAATTGTTACTTAACATGGACAAATCTATTTTAATTTAGTAGTACTGGTAAATTACACAAATTAAGATATCAGTGAATTTTAAAATCAAAAAAATATCCTCCATATAGACAATCAGATTAAACAGGCAGAACTGTTACTCACAAATAATTGGATATCCATCCCGGCTGGCACAGGCTGCTGCTAATATTCTTCCATTGTGGGAGAAAGCGAGACAAAAACATCCTCGTTCTCCTGCATTTAGTGAGAAGAGGTGCTTGTTGGGGATACGGCAAGCCTGAAAAACATACATTTTACAAATAGAAATTAAGGAACATTAAAATTAATTAGTTTAATAAAAATTAGTTAATCTCAATTACTGCAGTGGTGTTTTGGTGATTTTTTTTTTAAAGATCCTTTACTGTGGTTCAGAGGAAGAGAAAAGCAAATAAGCAGAATGATGGAAAACTGCAATAAATTACTTTTGCAACAGAGAATCAGTTTCAGTTCTTTATAAAATTAAGTGGATTTATACTCCATGTCTAACTAGTACTTAATTTACCTAAAATATAAATAGAAAATTTCAATATCTGATCCTCTAGTGTTGTCACTACCACATTATTTTTACATACCCACAGAAAAGAATTTATGTCATATCCTTATTTTTGCTGAACCACAAACTTGTTCTGAGGTATCAATTCCATTTAGGGCCTTGCTGAAGTCCAGGATGTATGACTACTCATTCTCTTTCCCTTTCTCTCTTAAAATAACCCTCATTTCTGGCTGTGCTCAAAAATGTATTTTCAAAGCAATCACTCATCTCCTATTGGTTTCTCATTCATTAATTTTAAAAAAATTTCTTCATAATTTTTATGTTTTCATTCCTTAGTACCAGATGAAACCAAAACTTTTTGTGTATTAATATTTACTGTAGAAAATACTACTTCTATTTATCTGAATTCTACCTCTTCAAAACTTCAGTGAGCTTTTCTTTTTGTGTTTCTTTCTTACTTTTCAAAAAGTTCAAATGAATATATATTTGGCCCTCACTACATGCCATGAATGTGGTACTTTATTATGAATATCTTTTCATATATTCATCACAGCAACCCTGTGAGTAACCATTATTACTAAATATAGTTAATAAAGATTATTCAGAGGCTTAAGCCCAGTTTAACTGGCCTAATCAAAGACTATTAGCTCAAGGACCTGCTTTCTAGATAGGTACCAGGTTTTTCACATGTAGCATCAAGATTTAACGGCATTATGAGAAGGCAGCACTAAGAGAAGCTAATATAAAGCTGAAAAATTCAATAGACATTAGGTGCCAGTAATGTACCAGACACCATGCTACCCATTCTTTCCTTCTATTCTCCACTCAGATGAGTCAGAAAAGGGAGAGCGGGATAAAAAGAGGACAAGAGTTGAAGAAAAAGTCAGGTTTTATAGCCACTTGCTGCTGTTTCTAGAGGAGATGTAGTTGAGGAAAACTCTGTGCCTCATCATTTAAGCCAAGATACCAAAGGCACCATTATTTTCTTGGGGTTCCCAGGGTTTGACACTGTACTCAGACTAGCACATGATGAAAGTTTAATAATAACAATACAGGCTCCTCAACATCTTCAACTCTTTTCCCTCCATTACTACCTTGTGAGTCACTAAGTTTCCTTCTTTCTTTTGTATTCACCTCTTATTTCTCAATTTTTCTGACCATATCCCAAGGTTGGACCCTCTTTACCTCACACATCATCAATGACTGCAACTGCCACCTGCTAGATTTCTCTCATTCTGATGGAACCTACCTCAAGATCTTCTACAAGCCATCCAGCATTTGTCCTAGAGTACAACTGCTATCATGCTTCCCTTCTATTTATTCTATTTATTCCCTTTATTTCTCAGTCCCACACAATCAAGTATCAGGCTACCATCTAAGCCACTGCACAATGTGGGCATAATCTATCACACCATTTTATCTCTTTCACAAGCTCGGGTTTCCAGGCAGCCAAGTTTTGAGGGCCTAAGGAACATAGCAGGTCCTTTCCCATTTACAACACTGCCCCAATATGAAACACTCTTCCCGGCCCTCCTCACCCAGCCCTATCTTGGCCACCCTTAAAAGTCTACCTCAAGATCCACCAACCTGTTGAATGAATCCTTCCTCCACCACGCCAGTTCACCTTCTACGTATCTGCAATTCTCAAACTGTTTTAGTCTTAGAATGCTTCCCAATCTTAAAAAATTTTAAGGACCCCAAAAAGCTTTTGTTTTTGTGGCTAGATCTATTAGGTATTTATAATATTAGAGATAAAAATGGATAATTTTTAAAAATATTTGTTATTAAAAAAAGAGCAACCCCATTAAATGTTAACAAATAATTTCTTTTTATGAAAAAATACATAAAATGGAATTACTCTATATTTTTGAAAATCTTTCTAATATCTGGCTTAATAAAAGATAGATTTTTATTTTATTTACCGCTTCTGTTTTCATCCTCTTTTGTGATATCATGTATCATTTAGCCTCTGGAAAACTCCAGTACATGCTGGAGAGAATGAAAGTCAAAAAGACAAACTCAATCATGAAATCATTAGAATCATTACTATCTTATTATGCAAACAGATTGACTTCACAGACCCCTGAAAGGGTCCTGGGACTTCCCCAGCAGTCCCCAGTCACACTTTGAGAATTGCTGACCTAAACAATTCTTTTTACACTTACATTTCTTCAAGACTTCTTTGCAGCACACCTGACAGTGAACAATACTGTAACTGTTTCCTATGTCTCCAATTGATGTGAAAGGTCCCCAAGGGACCAGTCTAAACGTCATTTTCTCCATATTATTATGTTTGACGTACTTAAAAATGACTTTAAGATGTATCTGTAAAACTGCCCTCAAAAAGAAAATCAAATATGATGCAAAACTCAGACAGTGAAAAGGTCTAGGAAAATAGTCACTTATGTACATACTGAGAGTATAAAATGAACCACTAAACTCTTACGGAAACAAGTAAGCGATTTGCAAAACTGGATCAATAATGATTCTTGCCACTGCAAAATATGCTAACCAAGTAAGAAAACTTCACTAAAAGCTTAAATACTGCTGAACTTGTGGTTAAAGAATATGAATGTACCTATCTTTATCAAAGTGTGATTTAGGAAGAAGCCAGGGGCTGTAAAAAATTTCACAAATTCATAAACGGTGCATTTATGGGCTGAATTCTGTCCCCCAAAATACGTATGTTGAAGTCCTAACCCCAGTACCTCAGAATGTAATAGCATTTGGATATAAGGTCTTTAAAGAGCTGGCCAAGTTAAAATGAGCTTGTTAGGGTAGAGCCCTGATCTAATAAGGCTAGTGTCCTTCTGAGAAAAGGAAGAGACACCAGGGATGCACATGCACAGAGAAAAGACCATGAAGAGGCAGCAAGAGGGCAGCCACCTGGAGCCAAGGAGAAAGGCCTCAGAGTAAACCAACCCTGCCAACCCTTAGTCCTGGGACTTCCAGCCTCCAGAACCGTGAGAAAATAAATTTCTGTTGTTTAAGTCCCCCAATCTGTTGCAGCCCCTAAAACAAATAAAATCCCAGGTTCCTAACAAACTTAAAATAGCACCTTTATGCACCTAGTAGGTACTGTATTATTATTTGTCAAATGAATTAATAGAAAGACAAGACTGGTTAAAAACAAGGATAATCTGAGAGTTTTAAGCAGCAAGCTAGTTACCATAGGAGCTGCTGGAGTTTTAAAAATAAAGAAGAAAATAACTAAATGAATCCAAAGCTAGTGAAGACCTCACCTGCCCAGGCAGCCGCTTCCACTTCACCACTTCCTTTGAATCTTCTAATCCAGGTTCTGTGTCTACTGAACTTGACTCACCGTGTTGTTCACAATACACTGTTTTACCCTTTTCTTCCTGAAGAGCCGTCATAGAGCGGTAAGATGGCTTTATCTGAATATGTATAGGAAATGAGAAAATTTATACAGCATGTTAATCTTTTTCTCTTTTCTAGAATGCATGGTTATTAAAATATTGAAACAAACAATATAATGTGGAAATGTTTTAATAATGTAACCTAGAAAAAAAATTCTTTTATTTATACATTATTCTAAATAAAATGAAAACTGCTTGAAATTATAGTCTTAAACCAAAAAGCCTTAAAAGTGGGAAGGAAAGAAACAAAACTCTAAACAGTTACAAGAAATGGTTTTAATAACTCTGCCCCTTGGTTTCCACCTCTTCACCAATACCTACGAGATGTTATATTATGGCTCTGACATTGTGCTATGGTAGCTCTGGCTTTATAATCACAAAACTGATAACATAAAGTTCTGAAGTTTTTTAAATTCTCCACTTCTTAAAACTGATTTAACTCCTTTCAAACCAATGCAAACCAACCCTGTGGTCACAGTTCATAATATCAACTACAGAATACGCACCTGACTTGAAATATCGTATAGCAATAAGACAAAAGCAAAAGTTCATTTTAGGACAAATGCTTTACTAAAATAGTCATAATCTTAATCTATGGAAAACAGAAGGAGAAATATTACTTTCTGATTATTTTAATAATACTGTAAAAAATGTGCCTCTAATTCATAGGTCTGCAAACTACAGTCTGGGCCAAACGTAGTCTGATGACGTTTTTGTAAATAAAGTTTTACTTGAGCACATCCAAATCCATTTGCTTAGTTATCGCCTACGTATGTCTCTGTAGCTACTTTTCCACTAGAACGGCACAGCTGAGTAGCTGCGACAGAGACCGCATGGCCTGCAAAGTCTGAAACAGCTGCTGGCTGGTCCTCTATGGAAAATATTTTTCAACTCCTACTTTAAGTCACTATTTTACCTTTAAGTTTTAAAAACTAGTATTATTAAAAAAAAACAACTGTTTTCCTAAAACTGAAATCTATATTTAGTATTTAAAATTCACCCAAGTATCTTTTAAGTATCAGCTATTACATGCTTATTACATAATCCCTGAAGGTATCTTTCTATTTTAGAAACCCATTAAAATAATTCTAGATACTTTATCTTTTTAGAAATGGAAACATGTCACCTTTTAATCTCAACAAGACAAGATATATTTTTGCATGTGCTATTAACTTACACATTCTGGAACTTTCAGTCCTCTTACAGTTACATAGAGCGTTGATGGATAACGATTTCTTGGAAATTTTGACCACCACTCAAAAACCTCGACGACGTTTGACTGGGATCGAGGCTTAGTAGGTGGGTAATACAGCTGCAAGCGAAGTTTTGAATTGATGTTTACATTTCCATTGGCTCCTAAAAGCTTAAATAAGAATTCAAATAAAACGTTACCTTCATTGAAAATAAATGCATCCAATAAAGCGAAAGCAGACAGTCAAAAACTCATTTTAAAAAGATTAATATGGTATGCTGAAATTCCTTAGATTGGTAAAGCAAAGGAAAGAACACTGACACAGCTGGTTAAGCACAGTTTCAGATCATTTTCACAAGGTAACCCAAATGACTTCTAAAATGTGTTCCTGATAGCTATCTTTTCCCTTATACAATTTCAGACCCTTGGTAAAGCAGTGACATTACTGTGGCAGGTGTTACTTTGTACAAAGGAGGTGATCAATACATGTTTGTTTGAAATGACAATGATAAAGATTAAGCTATTATTTAAACAGAAACAAATTTTCCATTTTTTTCAGCATCAATATTTTAATGGTAAAACTTTGTGATTTTTTAATTTTTAAAAAGTCAAAATTATTTTAAAAGAGTAATTAAGACATTAAACTCATTTGAGCCCTTTATTATGTTTTAAAAATATTTTAGTCTATCTTTTTAAAAGGTCTATTCAATTAAAAAAATTGCTAAACAAGACAACTTACATTTAAGCTAAATAAATGGATATTCTTATGAGAAAAAAAATCTCATCAATTCAAAATAGGTGCTCTTTCACTGGACTATGACTCTAAGTAGAAAATATCTTTGTTAACCTTCATGTCTTTTATAAATAAGCAGAGACAGTTGGGAGCTTTTGCAGCACTTCACAACATGAAGGTGACAAACTAGAAGAGAAGGGACTGAGAACAGGGAACATTCTTAATAACTGTTACTGACTTACGCAACTTGGAAAGTAAAAAAGGGAAAATCAAGAAAGACGTCAAGGCAGAGCTGTCCAACAGAACTTTCTGTGATGACGGGCATGCTCTCTATCCGTGTAATCCAATACAGCATCCACTAGTCACGTGTGGCCATCGAGCACTTGACGTGTGGCTAGTGCAACTTTGGAAATTAATTTTTAATTATATTTAATTTTAACAAATTAATCTGAATTCAAATGGCCACATGTGACTAGTGGCTCCCAAAACAAACAGTGCAGCTCAAAGGTTGTAAACTTAGAAGACTGGGCAGGTGGTGGGGCTACCAACTTAAGAAGCAGATAGAGGAGACGGAAGAGAGTTAGGGAGGATGTTCAGTTTGGGAGAGTCTGCGATATCTATAGGTCACCCCAAGCTGAAACGTCTTAATTCTGAAGCACACGCAAGAAAAGTGGGTCTAAGAGAAGCGGTTTAAAGGTGAAACTATGCGTAGTATTGATATTAAAGAGGTTAGTGGAAGACCTGGAAGGAGACTGAAGGAATGGAATAAGGAAAATCAGGAAAGGATGGTGTCAAGAAAAGCAAGGTAACAAGAGTTTTAAGGGAATGATATCACACACATAGGTTGATAAAAGAAGAACTAGAAAATGTTCAATAATTTGGTACATAGAAGTCATAGTGATTTGTTTGGAGAAGCTTCAGTAGCTGAGGCCCCATCCAGATTGCAGTGTGTTCAGGAATGAGGCATCAGTAAAGAAAGAGATTTAGCAAAAATACAGCCCATCTTTTCCCTACCCTCTACAGGAGGAAAGGGAAAAAGTCAATGGAGGTTGTAAGCTGAGGGGTGCCGTTATGATATAGAGGGGTAAAGAATAGTTTCAAATTGAGCAATAAGATGTGTAGTCATTAAATATTAAGTATTCGAGACTCCCTTCATAAACTGTAGTATTATCTGCCTGAATATTATAAAGGAGTAATATCATTTTTAAAAGATATTTATTCCCCAGATTCTAAATCATATTTTCCATAAGTTATTTTAATATTCACCAGGCAACTTAGCTTATACTAGTAAGCTGCTTAGCATAAGAAAACTAAGATCCAGCCAAGATCCTGCCATTGTGGTTATAAAACATATAATGTGGAACTTGAATAAATAAGGCTTAATTATTTTTTAGTTTAAAAGAATAGTCATATATATGTGCTAAAAGAACTGAAAGTGTCCTCCACTTGAGAATTAGGATAAAGTCTCATTTTTATCTGGACAAAGGTGCTTTGGGGTTCATTTGGACCACTATAATAACTTTACAATTATCTAGGACATTCCTGGAACCAATGGTATAGGTATTAAAACATCTGTATTTTAATTTGATTCATGCCACTTTCTCAAAGATGGATTTTTCCTAGTCATTGTTTCCATACATTTATTAATTCCCTCAATAAGTACTCATGGAGCACTTTCTCTGTGCCATTAATATGCTAGAAGTTGATGATATTATGGAACAGTGAGTTTAAAGAGTGATATATTAAACACAAGGAGGTCTGGTAAAATAAGGACTAAAATATGTTCAACAAATTGTCCGAAAAGAATCACCGATGACTTGAAATGCTTACAGTCTAATGAAAGAGATATATAAGTGTTATAACACAGGAAGCACATAGAATAACATACCCTTTATTCCTGATTGCCGTTTATGCCAATGGCATAAAATGGGTAAATAAATAAAAATACATTTGACACTTAAGGTAAAAATGCTGCAAGATACACTGTTTACCAAGCGCAGTTTATAGTAAACATTGCAGTTCTGCACAAACTATAGCATAAAAGGAGTAAGTGCACTTTCTAATAAGACCACAAGGTGGCAACATTTACTATGTGAAAGTGACCTTTTTTTGTTTTTGTTTTTCTAAAAAAATTTAGTGTGAGAGGGGGTCTAGATAAAGGTATAAAGGTTACAGAAGAAAGATTTTAGAAGGTACAATGGACCAAGTGATTCCTAAGGCCACTCTAGAATTAATTACTTCCTCACCACAGCCAAGCTGGCTGCCATCCAGCAATCAGACTGCGCTTGTTCTAAAGTCTCTCTTTAACCCTCAGCGTGGACTGAATGCCCAAACTGGGTTTTCACAGCATTTGCTCTATAAAGCATAATCATGTACGTAATATGTTTATATAGAAACTGAACTGGAGGGAAAGAACAATGCCTAATCTATCTGTGAATGTCCTGTAGTTAGCAGAGTGCCGTGCATTTCATAGCCACTTAGTAAATATTTGTTGAATGGATGGATGCACAAACAGAAAAAGTCTTATACTATAAAACAGGTTAATTATTCAACTTTTTATAACTCAAATTTATGTTTGAAATCAGAAATGAAGGATACCAGAAATAAAAGAACTATAAAATTAAAACTTCCCTTTTTAAACATCAGTCTATCTACATCTTTCATCTCTGCTTAGACATCCTAGACAAAGACACCATTGTTTTACACCTAGACTACTGCAAGAATTTTCTACCTTGATTTCCAGTACATACATTTGTGCCTTTCTCAATCCATTCTCCTCCCAGCAAAGTAATCTTTCTAAAAATTAAATCATTTTATCCTTTTGTTTAAAATCCTGTAATGGCTTCCCACCACTCTTTAAAGTCTATAATGGTTCCCTGTTGCTATAATGGCTCAAAGACCATGCATAATCAAGACCTTGTCTACCTCAGCAAGCTCTTCAGGCACCACCTTCCCTCTCAGCTTCTGTCCTCCAATCTCAGTGGCCTTCTTTTGCTCATCTAGGAATTTCTTGCTCTTTTTAACATCAGGGTCTTTGCACAGACTGTACCTTCTATCTAGAACTCTCTCTTCCCTGCTACTGCCATCTGGCTAATGCTCAGGTTCAATGTCTCTTCTATAGGAAACCTTTTCCTGACCCTGCAGGATGTTTTCATCATCCACCCCATGCCTCTTGACAGTATGCACAAAATTTGTACTACATGATAAATTGTATAATCAATTGTTTTATGTTTATTTTTCTTGCTAGAATATGAAGTCCTTGAGGTCAAGGAGTTTATCTTCTTTATTCACCAATGGGAACAGTGGCTGGCACATAGAAAGAGTTTAATAATTAATATTTGTTGAGCTGAATAATGATGGCAGGGCTGTGCCTTTTTCAATGCTGGAGCCTCAGAGCCAAAAAGTGTACCTGGAAACACTAGGCACTCAGTAAATAGTTAAGAATCTGAATGAGCAACACCTGAGCTTGAATTAATAACCCTTCACCACCACAATATTACTTTGTTAACATTACCCCTTATACGAAACCAAACTGACTTGGGAAAAAGTGGCCAATCAGATTTCAAGTTTATTTTAAAACTGCTTAAAATGGATAAGAAACATACCTTGAGAAATGCCCAGGCAATTTTCCGGAAGCCACATTCTTGGTTTCGAATTTCAGAGTTATTCTTAATTTCATCCATGCTTAGGAAATCAAGAATCTGTAAATAAGCATAAAAAATTACTTCACAGAATACTAAGCTACCTAGAATTTAATATTTTCTAATAATATATTACCAAAATTAAAAAATCCTCCGTTAGAGGAAAAACATTTTTATCTCATTTCACTCACTTTTAAGTTAACTCACCGAGTTAGTGAGGTTCATTTTCTGACCACTTCATTTTTTATTAATAAACCCTTATGATTTATTTAAAATCCATGACAAAGTATTAATTACCTCAAATATAGTCTAGGCACAAATACACCAGGCATAGAATTCTTAAGCTTTACTCATTTTTTTTATGTATGAGAGCAGATTTCAAAGGATAGTTTGTTTGAAAAATTCATGGCCTCATCTATGGGCCCTTCCTTGGATCACCTTCCTGAAGTTGGGTATCTTCTCTTTGGATATATGTTGTCATTAGGCTTCTCAGGAGAATTTCTTTTCTATCTCCATCTTGTCTGGATGTTATGGACTTGCAATCACAACCCGCCACAGGACTACCTGTATTCTAGGTACTTGTCACAGACTATCACTTTGAGCTCACTGGTGTTAATATCAAAAGCTCAGTGGAGATAACAAATCTTTACAGAAGACTGCTTAAAAACTAATACAGACTCCATCTATTCCTCTTCTTTATATACTTAAATTTGCCTTCAGATATAATGCATTCACAGTGAAAAAACACTGATTATAGAAGAAAAGTATACAAGAGTAAGAACGACTTGTAATCAAGACCACAGGTCTACACATATCTAAACCTTTTTCTGTGTCTTCCTAAATATACATATGTTACTACAAATCCAATGCTATTTTGCAAACTATTTTCATATGATATGTAGTGGATAGCTCTTCAAGTCAATATACACATGCAACCCATAAAATGTATACCATCATGTTAATGGCTACCTAGTATTCTATATTACAAATACCATAAATTGAAAAAAAAAACAATTTACTTAACCAAACCTCTTACTGAAGAGACCTGTTTCCTTAAAACTTCTGTTATTATAAACAGTGCTTAAATAAAAATCCATACACACACATCTTTTGTGTACTTGTCATTTAAGAGAAATATCTAAAAGTAGAATAATAGCTTTAAGGACTGCTGATAGATAATATCAAGTCGTCCTCAACAAACCCTTAAAAAGTTGAAATCAGAAATTAGTTTTGTAGACAATAATATTTTAATGTCAAAACTTAAAAAGTAATTGAAAGTGTTTATAATCCAACAATCTTTCCTAAATCTCATGTTACTAAAATGAATATAATAGAACATTATGATAAAAAAATGACAAATTTCTATGACAAAGAAACAGTACCTTGATATATAAATCACATCACTTTTTTAAAAGGCACAGCTTTTACAAATCATATAACACCATCACAGATGTAAATGGTAGAATATTCATATCATAAACACACATAGATTATCTGAGTTAAGGATCATAAAAACAAGTAACTCTACAAAATCAGTTATTGGCTCTGGTCATGTCTCGCTTTTCCCATGCTAAAATTCTCATCTTTTTTAAACTGGAGGAGAGGCTTTCTTTACTTTTCCTTGCTTACAGAGAGATACCATGAAGTACAAAAAGGAAATGTAGTATTTTAAGTTCAAATTATCTTTAAACACTAATTCTGCACTTAAAATAAGAGTAACTTTGGGGTAATCACTTTATGCTCTGAACCTTTATTTCCTTTACAGTAAAAAATTAGAATAAGTCAGCTAAAATTCAAATTATATTTTAAAAAACTCATAAAACTCAATAGCAAAAAAAGAAATCTGATTAAAAAGTGGTCAGAAGATCTGAGTAGACATTTTTTTAAAGAAGACATGCAGATGGCCAACAGGTACATGAAAAGATAGAAAGATACTCTATACCATCAATCATGAGAAAGATGCAAATTAAAACCACAATGCGCTATCAACTCACACCTGTTAGAATGACTAGCATTAAAAGACTAAATAACAAGTGCTGGTGAGGATGTAGAGAAAAGGGAACCCCTGTGCAGTGTTGTTGAGGATGTAAATTGGTGCAGCCATTGTGGAAGACATACGGAGGTCCCTTAAAAAATAAAAAATAGGCCTACCATATGATCCAACAATTTCACTTCTGCGTAGTCATAAAAAAAAAAACACTAATTTAAAAAGTAGTTATTTGCAGCAACTGTTCATTGCAGCATTATTTACAACAGCCAAGATATGGAAACAATCCATGTGTCCACTGATGAATAAAGAAGTTGTGGTGTATATACACAATGAAATATTATTAAGTCATAAAAAAGAATGAAATCTTGCCATTTGTGACAACATGCATGGATCCCAAGGGCATTATGCTAAGTAAAATAAGTCAGAGAAAGAGAAACACCACGTGATCTCTCTTATATGTGTAATCTAAGCTAACTAACCAAGATCACAGATACAAGAACAGCTTGGTGGTTGCTAGAGGTGAGGATTGGGGGTTGAAAGAAATAGGTGAACTCATTTTGTTTTTGTTTTTTATTTTAAACAAATTCAGTTTTTTAAAAAAGTCAGTTCAAAGGCTATCCATTTTATAAAGCTTTCCCTGACTGCTATGACCCTCTACTAACCCTTCACATTTAAGAAGTTCTACTTCATTGTGGTTATATGACACATTACATTAGTCAAGTAATTTGTGTATTTTCATCTTTATTTCTTCTAGTAGTATAAAAACTCTTAGGAAGTCTGATATAAATGAGTTTATATTTTGTGAAAAGGGTTAAGAATGGAAGATTGTTTAGACAGATTAGATTCATCACTTCACTTAATAGTCATGGCATTGTTGTAAGGATTAAACAATAAAGAGTAAATCAAATGGCTAACTACTTGCACTAGTAAATGCTCAGCAAATACACTATTACTTGTATCTCTATAGCACAGTACAAGTACATTATTCCTAGGGATCAAACTGTGAGAGTTTCTTATCTTTCTGAGGGAACAATCAAGAGATGAAGATAAGAAAATTTGAGAGGCTAATAAACGCCTTCATCTTTGACTAAGCAAAAAAAAAAAGTACTTTTGCTATATTATTGATCTACTAAAATTACAGCTTATATTTGTGCTATTAAAATATTAACTAAAATTTAGTTTAAATTGCTCTGTTCAATTCATACCTCAAAGAACAGGATGACTTTAGGGCTCTCATCAAAATCTCGAAGCAAATACGGAAAGTTTTCATTAAATATAATTTGTTCTTCCCACTCCGGAAGTCTTGATTTTAACTGTTTAAAATCATACGGCTGGGTCATAATAGGAAGAATATAATCCACGCTTTCTTTTTCATAGTAAGATGAAACAGGCCGTTCACTGTTCAAAAAAGATACTTACATTAACACAATTCTTCGTAAGTTTGAGAAAGAAAGGAAAAAATAACAAGAGTGTTCAAGGTGAGGCAACCAGGAATAATAAGTAGCCATGAAATATAAGGAAAAGTTATTTTATCTAGAAAATCATAAACTGTTTGAGACTTAAAAGTGGTAGTAACTTGCTTTCATCTTGCATTTATAAACTAACAGTCAGTGTCACAGAATTATTTTACTATTTAAATATAAAGTGACAAGTATGATTATACTTTTGGCATGCAGAGCTGGAAGAAAGTAACCGTTCAGAATCTTAAATGAGTTTGTGATTAATTTAGTACAGCAGATTTAAATAACAAAAAGAGCACAACAGGACTGTAAGCACTTTGAGGTGTGCCATATTTTCTTTGTATGCTCCAAGATGAGTAAGTGAATAAAGTTTTTTTTATAATCTTTGTATTTCCTATCCTTGTCATTTTTTCTAAGCAAATAATTATTTTGAATTCTAGTAGAGTCATTTATTTTTATTATACTTTTTATTTGGGTTTCAAGCACATATTAGCTATAGAATTAATATTATGAAAAAAATTAAATTCAAGATATTTGCCTTACCTGAGGCACAGATAACATATTAATTTCAAAAGAAAAATATGAGGTTAGAAAACTAAGCATTTACAGTGCAACATAAGACGATTCACAATGCAATTTAAATGTCATAAGTTAGCCATTAAGCTTGGGAGAAATTCTTTCAACTCCACTCCACTTAAAATGAATTACTGAATTAATAAATGTTCCCCATTTCTTCTGTAAAACGTACTGATGAATATCAATGGCTGATAAACACCTAGAAATGTAAACTATACTCTAATTAGAATCTGTAGCTCTATTCCTACTGACTGTCATATTCTCTAATTAGAATCTATAGCTCTATTCCCACTGACTGTCAAAGGCAGAAAAGAGGACTTCTACTGTACACATTTACAATTGCAAGGGTTAACTGTCCAATCAAAAAATTACCTATCATCTTTCTTGACATATTGACCAGTATTCTCATCAACCACATGAATTTTCACCATCGGGTGAGATATCATAAAATCTGACTTAAGTCGATCAGTTCGGTGAATGTAAACTCCCAGGACAAGGTCATCATCAAGCAAACATTTGGGATAAACTGGACTATCTCGGCTTGTTATTTCATGAACACCATCGCCATCAGTGTCTTCATTATCATCTGAAACTACAGGCATGGAAGAAAATCAAAGTTATACCTAACTGTTCCCATAACAATATACTCAACAATAAACACTGAATTTGCATATAATCTAATCTTTTCGATCCATGATTATTTGTCTTTGTTAACAAAGGCACTTCAAGGAAAAGGAAAGAAAAAGCCAGACAAGAGCAGACTACATTCTTAGAGTAAATACTGCATTTACTAATGCATTAAAATAGGGCGAGGAATCTTTCTTTTTTTCCCTAGCAAGGACCGACAACACAAAGAGAAAAAAATAAGAGGCAAAGACAAAAATAAAAATAAGAGGCAAATATCTAAGTATTTTCTAAGAGGAATATGTATCACTCAAATCATTTATAACTTTAATTTCTACTTCTGAGTAGGATGCAGTAGAACATAGCAGGTCAATGTTTCTGGTAACAACAACTTGAAAAGCCAAATAAAAGACAAAAACCTTATTTTTAAAGGCATCAGAAAAGTACAGAAACAATGTATAGTAGTAGATGGACTAAAATTCCAGAGAGGGAGAATCAATCAGAGGTGATGGACTGGCAGCTGTTGCAATGTCTGGGGACATTTGTTATGAGCAGAGGACCCAGGCAGAAGGTCACTACTTAGAGAAGGAGTAACCAGCAAAATTTTTAGTGGTTGCATGGGGTTAGAGTGATAAAACTGGAGGTTTGAGGAGTCTCAAACACAGGGATAATTTTCCTCACAAAACTGAATACCGGGACTACGTGAGAGGCTGAAGAGGTAGTGAAATCTCCCAGTCTTGTGGTACTAGGAAACAATGACCCACCAGCGGGAGGGGCCTAAAACAAAACAGGCAAAGAGGAAGCCCTGGAGGACATGGTCATTCTCCTCCAGCCTACAGCCACTTTTCACCTGGGGTCACTTACCAATTCTGGGCGCATCTAGAGGTTGAGAATCCAGGCGTGGCCCCTGGCAGAAGGCCCCTACTGGGGGACAGAGAAACCAGCAGAGATTTTGGCGTTCACGCGGGGCTGGAGTGACAAAATTGGAGACTTGAGGGGCCTCAAACACATGGCCAGTCTCCCCCTCAAGACATTTGCCAAAATTTGAAGCTGCATGGGGCAGAAGGCTAAAGGACTAAGCTGAAAATCTCTGAAGACAGATATCTGCCAGGCTCTCACTTTGAAACACCTGGAAGGCCACAGCCTAGGAACACGGCAAATCAGAGATAGAGCCTTAACAAAACTACAACCCAGATCTGACTTAGCTCAGATTAGTTGAAATCAGTTGCCCACTCTGTCTGTCTAAGAGAGCAAAGAGGAAATCCTCTCTAGTGGAAGATAAAATCATCTGGAGTCTCTGGGATTCTACACACAATGGCCAGCATACAATAAACAGTTACTAGACATGAAAGAGGCAAGACTGTATGACTAATAACCAAGGAAAAAACCAGAAAACAGAAGCAGACCCACAAATGATCCAAACTGGAGTTAGCACACAAGGACTTAAGTTATGACTAATATGCTCAAGAAAATAAAGGGAAAGATGGACAAAATAATTTTTAAAAATGTAGTTTCTACAGAGAATTGGAATTCATAAAAAATAAGCATTCTGGAACTGAAAAATATAATGTCTGAAATTAAAAATTCAATGGATGTGTCTAAAAGCATATTGGACACAAAGGAAGACATGATTAGTGAAACTGAAGAAAAATCAATATAAATATCCAAACCAAAGCCTAATGGGGAAAAAAGCAGAAAAATATGGGGGAAAAAAACCCATAAAAAGAAACATGTGTACAAACTTGAGAGTTTGTGAAATTATAATCTAGAAAAACAGGAGAGAATGGTGAAGAGCCATATTCAAAGGAATAATGACTAAGAATTTTCCACAACTGATAAATGGTATAACCAGTAAACTCCAAGCAGGGTGAATTCCAATAAAGCTTTATGTAGGCATAGTATGATAAAATACTGACACCAAAGACAAAAGGAAAACCTAAAGAGCAGCCAGAGGGAAAAAAAGACAACAGTTCCTTCAATGGGGCAGAAATAAGAATGCAGTTGGGAACAAAAATGATGGAAGCCAGAAGACAATTGTATGATTTCCTGTAAACTGAAATTATATACTAGTAAATACATTTCATAAATGAAGGTAAAGGCATTTTAACACAACAACATCTGAGTGAATCAGCAGGCTTGCACTGAGAGAGAGAATAAACAGTGCTTCAAGCAGATGAAAAATGGAAATAAAGGAAAAAGTAAATTTGGGGATGAAAATAAATTAATATCAACTTTACAGAATGGTAACTAATACCTGTGAAGTTTAAAATGTATGTAGAACTAAAATACATGAGAAGAACTAGAAAGGAGAGGGACAGATGCAGAGACAGCAACTGACAAAATTCAAATGGAGTCAAACTACTCTAATGTTTAGCAGTGTTGGGCAAGTGTATTTTGTGAGGGAGTTAATTTGTATTATAAGTCAAGAATGAACTTAATGTTCTCTAGAGTAACAGCTTAAAAATAATAGAAGGATGTATAATTAATAAGTAAATAGAGGGAGCAAACTTTAAAAAAATAACCTGAATAATTCAAAAGATAAGGAGAATACAGAATATAAAATACTTAGATCATACAGAAGACTAACAGTGAGATGACAAATATAAGGACACAGAAAGATCACAAACAAGAGGATATCCGGGGTGTGAACAACAGCACTTCACATTTACTGGGGGCTTGTCCCCAGGGAGTTCACAGCCTGGGGACTGAGACCCCACATGTGCTGGGGTCAGGGGAGAAAAGAGGTGAAGGCAAAAAGGAAAGCAATGCAGAGACACTGTGGCCCAGACAAAGGGATGTGAAGCAGACACAGGCAGGGAGTCCAGTGGATGGGGAGGGGCAGAATGGAGTACTAACAAGCCCTGCCTAGACCTGGAGACCATGGCCAAACACAGGTTTGAAGGTTGCCCCTCCCTGACCAGGTTGGCACCACCTAAGGGTGCACCGTGGACATGGTGGAGAAATTAGGATGGGAAACAACATACTATGCAAACTCAAATCATAAGCAGACTTTAAGGGAAAATGGATTATCAGAGATAAAGAAGGACACTGCATAATGACTGCTATAGACTGAACGCTGTGTCCCCCCAACAATTCATAGGTTGAAATTCTAACCTCTGATGTGACTGTATTAAGGGGCTGGGCCTTTGGGAGGTGATTAGGTCATGAGGGTAGTTTTCATGAATGGGATTAGTGTCCTTATCAAAGAGACCCCAGAGAGTTCTCTTGCCCTTTCTACCATATAAGGACAGTGAGAAGACACCAGTCTGCAACCCGGAAGTGGGCCCTCACCAGACACTGAATCTGCAGGCACTTTGATCTTAGACTTCCCAGCCTTCAAAACCATGAGAAATAAATGTTTATAGTTTAAGCCATCAAGTCTACGATATTTTGTTATAGCAGCTTGAATGGACTAAGACAATGATGAAAACATCAATCTGACAGAAAGATGTAACAATCCTAAACATGAATATACTCAATACAATAGCTTCAAAAAGATGAAATATCCCTCCATTCTTTTTGAGACCATCAAAACCTTGATATCAACAACTCCGGGTATTTTAAGAAAGGAAAAATACAAACCAATCTCTCTCATGACACAGATACAAAAACCCTTAACAAAGTACCAGTAAATCAAATCCAGTAATAGATTAAAAAAGAGAGAGTTAATATATCACAACAAAGTGGGTCTCCCCAACCACTGCCAAGAACACAAAGATGGCTTAATCAAATAACAAGCCACATTAACAGAAAAAAAAGGGTGAAATTTAATATGATGATGTTGACAGATGCAGAAAAAGTACCTGATAAAATTCAGTATCTCTTCATGATTAAAAAAATTATTGGCCAATTAGGAATAGAGGGTAGCTCATTAATCTGATAATGGGTATTTACAAAAAGCTTATAGCAAATATCACACTCAATGATGAAATAATAAAGTTTTCATCCAAGGCTGGCAGCTAGAGAAGACGACTTGTTATTGCCACTTCTATTTAACACTGTAATGGAAGTCCTAGCCGGTGTATGAAGAATAAGGAATAAGAGATAAGAACTGAAAAAGAAGCAATAAAGCTATCATTATTAACAGATGATATGACTGTGTATGCAGAAAATTCAAAATATGGGTAAACTCTAAGAAGTAAATGGATTTAGCAAGAACACTGGATACAACATTAAAAATTTTTAAATTGCATTTCTACATAAATATCAGTAACAGAAAACAAAAATTTAAAAAGCAATGCTATGTACAATAGCACTGAGAAACATCACTTTGCAATATATTACAAACATCAAATCATTATGTTGTACACCTGAAACTTATTTAATATTGTATGTCAATTATATATCCATTAAACAAAAAAAATCATACTTAGAAATTAATCTAAAGAGAGACTGCTGAAATTTACAAATAAACAGAGATGCGTAACAATTTTACGGATGGCAAGAATACTTTGTAAAGATTTTAAATCTATTTAGAGAGTTGCTAAATTGTATATCTCTTCAGATTCACCCAATCTGAATCAAAATCAGAGGGGAGGAATGAAGAATCGAGAAGCTGCTTCTAAAATTCATATGGAAGTGCAAAGGGTAAAGGACAGCCCAGGCAATGTTGAAGAAAAACACTGGAGTACTTTCAATACCAAATAGCAAGAGCTATTATAAAGCTAAAGTAATTAAGACATGGTGGTGGTGGTGGTGCAAACCATCTAAGAACAGAGACTAGCGAAACTGACCCATTTACACAGTCATGTTATTTGTGATAAAAGTGACACTGAAATGTAGATGAAAATCTGGTCTCTTTAGTAAGTGGTATTAGGTCAATTGTATATTTATATGAGGAAAAAATGGGTCTGGACCATTGTGTACTACCTATCCCCATACACAAGACTCAATTCCAAATAAACTGCAGATCTAAATGTGAAAAGTGGAACAAAAGACCTTTAGAAAAATAGTACATAGAGAAGTATCTTCAGAATTTGGGAAAGATTTCTTAAACAAATTACAGAAAGCACTTACCATCAAAGGGAGAAACATGGATAATATGGAGTTATGTAAAATTTAAAAATTCTGTTTTTCAAAAGATACCAATAGGAGAAAAATAATAAAACCCAGAGTGGGAAGGTATTTGCAATATATATGTATTCATATCTGGGAAAAATCTGCTATTTAGTTATATAAAATATTCTCACAAATTAATAAGAAAAAAGTGGACAATTTCATTTATTAAAAAATACACAAGAGATATGAACAAATTTACTGTGAAGGAATCCAAGTAGTCAATAAACATGAACAAGATGTTCAACTTCACCAGTTACACAGAAATCAAATCAAAGTCAAAAATGAAATCATCACTACACACTCCTAAGAATGACTAAAATTTTAAAGCACTGACAATATAAATATTGGTGAAGATGTAGGGCAATGGAAACTCTCAAATATTGGTGGTATCAATTGATAACCCAAGTGTGGAAAGTGGGAAGTCTCTATTAAAATATACATACTCTATGACTTAGCAACTCTACTAAGAATATGCCCAACAAAAATGTATACACATGCTCACCAAAAAATGTGACTAGAGTGTTCACTATAGCTTTATTTATAATCGCTTAAAACTAGAAAACACCTCAAAAGTCCATCAATAGAATAGGTAATTAATTGTGGTTTATTCACACAATGGATATCTACACGGTACAAAAACAGGACTGATAATGAATAAGCTCAACTGCATGCAACAACAGTATAAATCTCACAAAAATGATTTTGAGCAAAAAAGGCAGATACAAAGAGCACAGTATTTATGATTCTATTTATAATAAAGCAGAAAAATAGGGGGAAATTAACTATGTGTTAGATGTCATGAGAGTAGTTGTCCTACTACTGGGTGCTCATGATGTTCTCTTTTCTTGATGTAGATGATGACTTTATAGGCATATTCAGTTTGTGAAAATTCAGTAAGTAGCATATTTGTAATACGTATACTTTTCTTTTTAAAAATTTAATTACAGGAACCACAGAACACCATCAATTGCATCATCCAATGAATAAGTACCATATACTCTAAAATTGCTTATTTTAGTTTCAATTTTTGGCAATTAAATAGAAATTGAAAAGAAAAAAAAGATGTAAGAAGTAAGAAAAAGGCAAGAATAAGTAAAGAAAAATAAGAAAAAAGAAATGAGTAAAGAGGAAGGGAGAATGCAAGAGGTAAAATGAAAAGCGGGCAGGAAGGAGAGACGCTGAATTAGGAGGCACTGGGAAGATACCACGTTCGACAGAGACGCAGCTTTAACATCTGAAATGTTTATGGGCTGTTGACCATTTACAGATTTCAATGCTATAAGTCTTAATTATTTACGGGCAATGACATAAAGAAGAAAAATCTTCTATGCCACAATAGCAACTATAAAGTTAATGTCATTCTAGAGTTGAATCAAGTCACTAATTAGAGACGACAAGTAAGACTGATATTACAGAGACCCACAGTTACAAATAAATGAATGCTATAATCTAGATGAATCCAAGCGTTAAGTACCAAATATACTACATTGGATTTTTTTCAATTATACCCTTTGGGACTAGATTTTCTTTAGTTTCAAGGACTAAAGTCCTAGAATCAGGTGTTTCCTACCAAGATATGCATTTTTCATTTAATTTGAATAACAAACCTGCTTTAGCCTTCTTTTTCTTTTTTTTCAGCTTGGATTTTGTGTCATCTTGCATGTTGTTGTCTACATTTTGTTCCACTGAGCTTATTTCATCATCTTGATGAGAATCTGAAGTAACTACTCCAACTGGAGATTCCTTTTGTTCAGCTTCGACTGGGTCATCAGAGACGACCAATGTACTGCAAATACAATCCAAGTACAAGCCATCAGAAAGGTACCAACTATTATTACTACTTATGGTGCAGCAAAGTGAATAGTGAATTGAGGCAAGGATAATCCTAAAATAGGTATTATTTCCTATTGGGAGATACATGTATTTCTCATGCACTAAAATGGTAAGCTAATAGTAATCTTTGGATGGTTGGATTGCTTTTATTTTCTTCTCTGTGTCTGTAAGTCTTCAATGAGTAAATATTATTTGTAAAATATGGAAAAATGCTATTTTCATATACTCAAATAGGCACTTGTAACTCAATAAAGGGGGTAATAATTGGGTAATTATTTAAGAAGCAGATGTAAGTGAAGAGTTAAAGGTGGTGGGTGACTCTGGAGCAAGACTGCCAAGGTTTGGCTGTGCTTCTTACTGGTTCTGTGACTGAAAACCCTTCAGTTTCCTCAACCACAGAACTGGATGATAATACTATTATTCTTCATAGGGTTGTTATAAGGAATATAGTACATATTCCTTGTAAAGCATTTAGCACACAGGAAGGTGCTACATACAGGTGAGCTGTTAGTACCGTCCTGGCCACATGTCCAATTGGAAGACATTTTCTTTGTGAAACTACAGGTATCATTCAAAAGCTGAAAATAAGAGTGTTTTTTTAAAGAGGACATTTTATATTTATCGGTGTCACATACCTTGTTTCAGATTTAGGCAGAATTGGAACTTTCTTTTTTTCTTTTTTCTTTTTTCACCGCTCAATTTGTCATCGTGCAGTGAAGTATCTGAGGGAAAGTAAGTCAACTGCTCTTTGAGTTTCTTTCTGATTTTCTTCTTAATCTCCTTCGCCATTTCTTCAGCCACTTGGAGCTGGTATACCTGCATCAGCTCATCTTCCTCATCTAAACTGTTATTTTCTCTTTCTTCCTTGGCCCTCTCACTTTTCTGAGGGGTGGCACCTGGCTGTGACTTGGTCGGTGCTTTCTGAGGTGTGGAATCCCCCTTCTTCTCAGGAGTTTCCAGTTCCACTTCTTGTGCAGTCACCTGGAGCGCTGTCTTTACAGCCTTTTTAGTTGCCTTTTCTTGCGTGTCTTCCTCTACACTAACATCATCATCTGGGTTTTCAGCGGCTGACGTTAGATTCCTCGGTTTGTTTTTAGGGACTCGCATGGTCTTATCTGGATTATTGATGTTAGCAGCACTTATATAATCACTTTCAGTTTCTTTAATTTTCTGAAGATTGCTTCTAACAGCGTCAAGCTAGGAAAAAACAACACAATAACAAAGTTTCAGCTAAGCACAGCTTAGTTACATGAAGATAAAATAACAATGAGTGTTCAACCATGTGTAATACTGTGAGGATTATTTCATTTTTTGCTTGAGCACAGTGACACCACTCTAGGGCAATGGTGGGCACTTTCCTAGTTTATTTTCCCAGCATTAGATTAGTAATCTTGTGAGTTAACTTCAGCTCAAATGAGTTAGTTAATTAACATGGGGAAAAGTACTTACTGACTTTTCAGAAGTGAATTATTGCTCGAATCTCAAATGTTACTTTCCTCTTTGGCAGAATGATCCATACTCTAATCTAGTTAAGGGATATTTGAGAAATTGCTAAAAGAGCCATGGTTATAGTACTTCATGTTCCCCAATAGAAAACACATACACGTCATTTATCTTGCTTTATAATTACATTCTAAAACTAAAGGTCTATAGCTCTCGGATTACCTGCAATTAGTTCAAACGTATCACTGCAAATACTGCTAAGTATCAAGTATTATCAAGTTACATCAAATGACAAACTAAGCACACACCTGTACGTCTTTCCCCAATCAACATTATTCAAAATGAGAGATATTTTAATAGAAAATAAGGTTAGAAATCAAAAAGGAATGTTACTAGTAATAAAATTAATATTTTGAGAAATTCCCCAAGGATAAAAAATAGGCATGATTAGATCTATTAAGAAACTACCAGAAAAAACCATAACCCACAGGAAAAGACTTCTCCAGAGAAAAGGGTGGTTCTGAAAAAGCCATAAGCTCAGAGTCAAATAATACAAGAAGGAAGGATAAGCCTGAGAACAACCAACTGAGAAGCTGGTAAGGACAGCTCTGTCCTCCACCTCCGTCTGTGTTACCTGGTGACTTTCACCCAGAGTATAAAGCAGTTGTGTACAGAGAAGTGTTGCAGCATCTATTCAGGTAGGCACACCCTCACCAACAGCAGAAGCAAACTATGTTGAAAACAACCAACAGGCAGAAGAGAAATACTCATATAGAAAAATGACTAACAACTAAAAGCTGACAAACACTGAAGGAAAGTATCACAATGAAGGAAAAGCCATCAAATCCAATAAAACAGAAAAATTAACAGTGAAGAAAAATAAACAAAATAATTTAAAATAAGTGAAATTAATATAATGAAATTAAAAAGCATATGAGATTAAAAAAGACAACAGCAGATGTTAGAATTATAATTTTGAGTGACAGAAATAAAAGCTTAAGAGACATGTTGAAAAACAGAATGGGCAAAACCAAAGTGCTTACAAGATGAAAGCTAGTTATCAATGAAGAATTGTCCCAGAAATGGATGAGCTTACTGATGAAGACTGAAGTTCAATTTTTTAAAATCTCCATGTTTAAAAGTAGTTAGAAAATATCTAATATATGTAAAAAGATGGAAAAATGCTAAAACAACTAGTATCCCATATATATCCAATATTGTACCATCTCCAAGACTCTTTTGCTCACCTAAAATGTATTTCCAAATTCTATCTATTCAGGGACAAATTATGAAGCCATATCCTCAAAAAAATTTCTCTTAATTAAATATAATAAAAGTATTTTCTCTCAAAGAAGTTCATTTTCATATGTTCTGTTTCTCATAGATATAATATATGCCAAACTTAAAATAGTAAAAAAAAAAAAAAAAAAAGAAAAAAAAGAAAAAATCAGAAAACATTTAGGGGAAAAAAGACCCAAAGCTCAATCCTGGTTGTTTCATACTAGGAAAATCATTGCTAATCATTTCAGAAACTTATTTCTACCTTTTTTCTATGAATACAGTCATATCTAATAATCTTGAATTTCCATTATGTCAAAATGGGGCATATGCATATTTCTTCTACTTTCTCAGTGAGTACCAGAAACGTAGTGGCAATGTATACAAATTGTGAGGACATTCCTGAAGGAAGTAACTTTGGAAAAGATAACCAAGAATCAGAACTAGAAGGAAAAATAATGGTCTAGAAGAAAAGATTTTGTAAATGAAACTCTGGGAAAGCTAATCAGATGAGGTCCAGTTTTTCATTTACACTCTTCTACCGATCTTTCAACCTTTGTACTAACTTCATTTAAAATACAATTCACAGAGAATCTTTGGTAGCATTCCATACATTTCACTTCATTGAACTGATAGTTTCATTACTTTTTAAATATCCTGTTCTGGTGCTCTGGATTTCCTTTTTCTTGCTAACAGTTTCATAGGACAGTTTTTACATTTCTAAGTAGTTTATAAATTTTAATCTTTTGTTATTGATTTCTAGTTTTTTGTACTATACTTAAAAAAAGGTCTACTTTATGGAATTTCATAATTCATGGATTATCACTGAATTTTGAAGTGTCCTAAATACATCTGTTCATTTTCTATTATATTTTTGCCTATCCTTTGGTCTTTGCAGTCTTGGCATCATTTAGGTTTCTCGCTTCAATTTGTTTGTTTTTAAAATCAGCTTTATTGAGACATAATAAATTACATGAATTACTGTAATAGTCACCAGTTTTAAGTGTGTACTTAAGTAAATTTTGGCAAATACATACAGCCATGACACCACCACATCATGATGTAAAACATTTCCAGCAACCCATGTGTTCTTTTACAAAGTCAACCCCTATCCTTCCACATCTGTATCTCTTCTTTGGTTAAGTGTTCAAATCTTCTGCCTATTTTCATAAGATTGTTTATTTTAAAATCATCAAGTTCTGAGAGTTCTTTAAGTGTTCTAAATACACTTTATCAGACAATATGTTGTGAATATTTTCTCTCAACTTGTAACTTATCTTTTCATTTTCTTAGCAATGTTTCAATTTTCACAAGGCCCAATTTATCCCTTTCTTCTTCTATGGTTCATGTTTTTGTATCCTGAGAAATCTATTCATAACTAAGGTTACCAAGGTTTTTTCCTGCTTCTTCTCTAAGTTATACAGTTTTAGCTCTTCTGTATTTTAGGTGATTGACTTGTTTCTATTTGAACAGTCATAGTTCATAAAATTGTATACGTATATCTTATTGTTCCAGCACTATTTGTTGAAAAGACTAACCTTTTCCTCAGTGAGGTACCTTGGCAATTTTGTCAACAATGACTATATACATTAGGGTCTCCTTCTAGACTCTCTTCTGCCCTATGACCTATATAACTGTCTTCGTGACAATACCAGGTTATCGTGAATTACTATAGCTTTACAATGAGTTTTGAATCAGATTGTAAAATTTCTTTAACTTAGTTCTTTTTCAAATTTGCTTTGGCAATTCTAGGTCTGTTGTTTAAATTTCCAAATAGATTTCATAATTAAATTTTCAATTCTTAAAAAACCTGCTGGCATTTTGATTAGGACTCAACTAAATCAATAGGTCAATTTTCCAAGAATAGACAATAATCTGCCAATAATTATTGGACAATGATGATTCTTCCAATCCATAAACATTGGGCATCTATTTATTTGGTCTTTATTTCCAGCAGCTTGGGGGTTTCCAGTATACAGGTTTGTATTTTTTTTTATAAATTTATCCTTGATTGCTATATATTTTTGTTACTGCCATAAATGCTATTTAAAATTTTCAATTCAAAATATTCATTACTGGTATAGAAATAACAATTGGTTTTTATATTTGGACCTTATATTCTGCTAAAATCATTCAATAGCTCTAATGGCATTTTTTTGAGACTGATGTGTTCAAGCTTGGGGCAAAAGCTTTCAGTTTTTTACTTATAAGTATGATCTTAACTGTAGGTTTTTGTAGATGCCCTTTATCAAGCTAAGGAAATTCCTTTCTATTCTTTTTTATAGTTATCAGAATAGGCGATGAATTTTGTCAAGTTTTTTTTCTGTATTTATTGAGATGATCAAATGGTTTTATTTAAACTTATGATATGGTGAATTACCTTGACTGATTTTTCAAACGTTGCGATATATTCCTGAGATAAACCCTCACTTGGTCATAGTGTATTATTATCCTTTTTATATAATGCAAGATTGATTCCCTAACATTTTGTGGAAGATATCTGCTCTATGTTCAAAAGAGGTACTGGTGTAGTTTTCTTGTAATGTCTTTGTCTAGCTTTAGTATCAGGGTTGTTAATGACTGCCTCCAAAAAAGAGTGGATTATTCCCTCTTTTTGCATAGTTTGAAAGAATTTCTACAGAATTAATATGATTTCTTTCTCAAATGTTTGGTAAAATTTATCAATGAAGCCACCAGAGAAAACTAACCACTGAGTTTTCTTTGTGGGCAGGTTCTTAACCACAGATACTTTTTTTTTTAAGATATTTAATATTTAAGTTATGTGTCTCTTTTTGAGTGAGCTTTGGTAGTTTGTGTCCTTCAAGTAATTTATGCATTTCATCTAAGCTGCTAAGTGTGTTGTCAAAAAGTTATTCATAATACTCCCTTATTATCCTTTTAAAGTCTGTAACACATCTGCAGTGAATGCCCTCCTACATTCATAATACTGGTAATTTGTGTCTTCTTTCCTTTTTTCCTAATTGATATGTTTAGAAGTTGTGCAGAAAAGGGTTAACCCAGCAGCCCTAGCTGCTTAAATCTGCAAATCCCAAGACATGACTATTTTCAGGACCAGCCCTTAGCAGGTTGCTGGGAACTGAGCTCTGAGCCCTTGGAACAGAGTACTTGATAAAGGTGAATGAATACATGAAACAACTAAAGGATATTACTAACAGTGAGAGAACTTAGAATATCTTCCACCCTTTAAAATTAATTTAATACACAAAAAACATTTTTGGAAGCTGTTATTCATAAAAGAAGTTATCCATAGCCCCTATGAAGTAACTGTTATAAGGATAAAATGATACAGGAGAAAATCAAGGAGTGAAATCAAGATGATATAGGATGGACAATGAACAAAACATGATTTAAATTCTCCCTTTTAAAAGGTAAAATTTCAGATGCAACTTCAAAATTGATAATAGCTACAGTTTGAGTGTTTATTCTCTACTTAGCAATTTATGTTCATTTGTTCCAGTTATTACTGCTGAGTGTCAAACCATTCCAGACTTAGTGCTGTAAAATAATCAACAGTTCATTATACTGGGAACCCAACATATCCTTCTTATTTATCCTGTCCCTCTTATCTTCATCTCCTGATACTTTGGTTTCATAATCCATCACTTCAGTCATCACTTGCCAATATCATGTACTTTTGATCCAATACACTTATATGGAAAAACTGCAAGCATCATTCAAATTAAGTGACCTTCATCTCTGTAACTACAAGGAGGCTGTTGAACATGGCTGGAAGACCCTGAACCACTTCAAAAATTGGTACTATTATAAAAATACGGTCTACGAATTCAACTGAGATCTCAAAGATACTGGACAATTCTTCTATGCTGCATAATCTGTTCATTTGCAACTCTTTCATACCTGGCACTGAAAACACCTAGATGAGTTTAACTCCATGAACGCAATGGCCATTTCAAACTCTCTTCACTCATCTCTAATGTCCAATGTTGTCATTTCTGGACTTGCTTTCACAGATAGAAGCCATCATATGGGAAGTTGGAACTTTCTGCTACCAAATCTATAAATTTGCATGCACCCCAAATGATATTTTTCTCCTTCCTTCTTATAAAGAGGTGGTCTTCCTTACCTGTGTTCTAGAAAAACTTCCTGCCCCATATCATCAGTCCCTCCGTTACTTTCCTGCTATCAGTATTTAAATATCTGAATGTAGTGAGTATCATCTTCACAATATTCCTTTTCCCAACCAAACTTCCTGAAAAGGTTGTCTATAGTTGTTGCACTACTTCACCTTTCTATGAGCGTTATACTTAAAAGCCTTGCTCTCTACCTTGCTACTAAACTTTCAGACATTTATTTGGTAAGCAAAAAAACCATCTCTGGGTTCCAATCTGAATCCCTTTTAAAGTGCTTTTATTTTATAAGTCAACGTTAGATTGAAATTAGTTTTTTTCCTCATGCCTTTAGCTCACTTAAAGATTTATGATCTTCCTATTTATGTTTTTTACTTACAGTACTTCCTTACATGTTAACAGGAACAGAACTCACTCATAAAGTTATTCTGAAGATTGGTTAAGGCATAACTATAAAACACTGAAGATCCTTCTGATTCCAGAATATATGCCTGCTCTGTACAGGGCATTCACTGTTCTTGTTCATGCCTTATTAAAAGAGCTCCTAAAGGGTTGTGATTGAGAGAGAGGATTCTGCAGTCAGACTGTCAAGAGTTTGAATCCTGGTTCTACCACTAACTATGTAACTTTGGGTAAGTTATTCAACCTCTCTGTGATCCAATTTCTCCATCTAAAAAAGGAAAGAAAACTTCAAAATTTTATTGTTTGTATTACAAATGGGTGAACACACATAAAATGTTCAGAAGAGTGCTTGAAACATAGAAAACACCATTAGCTAGTAAATTAAAGCAAGTATTCCTCTTCTATTTGCTAAAATAAATCATTTCAAAAATATTTTGTTTCCTCTAAGTTTTCCAGGAACAATCCTCTTCTTCTGAGCTGAAAAATCTCTTCCTAAATGTCATTTTTTAGAATACTTATCTCTAAATAAAGAGAGATCTTGAATAGTCTGGTATGTGCCAAAAGAGGCTGACTGGATCATGTTTAATCGCCTCCCACTTGTGTTGTTCCCAACATCTAAACTGGACCCTAAATAAATGGACATGTCTTCTGCCCATTTTCTGGTTATCCAATTAATTTCACATTCCTGGCCCAAACTGCCCCTTGTTCATGCTCACAAAGCCCAGTTCTGACGATGAGAGAAAGTATGAGGTTCTACTTTGAGTCCATAAAAATATCCGGCAGTTGTTTTCAGCATTCTTTCTGCTTTTGCCCAATATACACCACCTGCTCAAGGGGACGGCAGTGTTCCATCCTCCTCATGCCACTATTCCCTACCAAGCTGCATACAAAGGTACAGAAGCAGCAGCATTTTCCATTTTAGAGCAGCATCCACTATGGGAGACCTAATCTGCTCCATTCCATCAGCAGTTCTTAATTGGTATGCAGTAGTACACTGGTGTACTATGAACCCCTCACACATGGGTGGCTGTATTCTAGCCAACGTTATTACTTTTTTTTTTTTGCCTCACTTGCCAATATACCTGTTATACTGATGGCTGCCAGATGGAATATTAAAATGAACAAGTCTCAAATTATAGACTAGGGTAAAATTTGCTACAAGTAAAATGTAGGATGCATATAACTCATAAAACTCCTGCCAAAGAAATGTATGTATTCTTTGTATCAATTAGCAGAACATGCATGAAGTTATTTATTTGTGCATTTGTGTGTGTGTGTGAGTATGTGTGTGTGTGTGTACACAGAGATTATGGTCAAAGGAGTAAAAAATTTAATGGAAATAGCAAGATAGATTTGAAGAGTGAATAGGACATTAGCTGACATACTATTACAAACTCTAAAAACCCTGGGAACTGGGTTGATGTTAATTGCTGATTTGTTTAGTATTGCTTTGAGTTCTGTATTTTCAATCCTTTCAAGTGTGGTGCCAAAATTCTATCATTTGAAACTGTACTTCAAGTACAAAAGAATAATTATCTCCTTATGATTCCATTGATTTCTTCCGGTTCTGCTGGGTAGAAACAGATGAGTAAGTCTAAATAAAGATAAGCCACTGAATATCTGAAGTAAGATATTACTTCCTTCATAAATTCTTCATAATTCAGGGATAAAATCTTGATTTTCTTAAAAAATGTGTAATACGGCTAGTTTTGAGTTTCCCGGTTATTGGCAGTCACTCTCACCAGTTTGTCTGCTACCCTTGTAGGACAGCACTTAAGAACTCAGTACTCCAAGAGGGAGGCTGATTCTAAAGAAAGCTTTATTTTACCATGTTATTGACCATGACATAGATTTACTGTTCTTAAATTTCCAGTTTTTCAGAGTTTTCATATGAAAGCTGTAATTTTGTGCAGATATGTAAGTCATCATTACCAAATGATTAATTACTCACTGAGAGTTTTTCTCCAGATTTGCCAATTTTTTTCTTCAGTTTTTTCCTTTCACGTCTTAGATCATTGTGGGCCTTAAGCAATTCCTCAAAGCGAACTTTTGTCTTCACTTTGGCTTCACTCTCAACTATGAGTGAAATAAAGACTCACGTCATTTTTGAAACAACTCCATTATCACATATATTATGCTTAAAATAAACAACAACATAAAAATCCCACTGTCTTGTATAAACCAGCATGAGTTCTCTGGCTACACTAAAACAACTGACTAGATCTTCTTTCTCAAAAAACATCTCTTTTGGCTTTGGTGATACCACACTCACCTGTATCCCTCTTACCTTTCAGGCTATTCCCTCTAAAAGTTTCCTTTGCTAAGTTAACTTTATTTATGATACACAGTAGCATCTACTACTGTTAGTTATGTGGCCTTAAACAAGTTACTTAACATCTCTAAATTTCAACTTCCTTATCTGTAAAATCAGAATAATCCTATGTCAAAGATCATTTTGCATGAAAAATGACTAACACTTGCCTGATCAATAATCAGCCTTCAACAAATACTAAAAAGCTGAAAGTTATTTCCTCTTTAAAGCATAAATCAGTTCATGCTTGCTTAAGACCCTGTGAGTTTCCCATTTCACTTAGGCCAAAATAAAACAAATCCTTCATATGGTCTACAGGGTTCTCACTTCCTGGTCTGCCTATCTGTACAGCTTCAAATCAAGACAAATATCCCCTTAGGTCCCTACATTCTAGCCATACTGCCGTTTTCCTAGCTCTGTTGCCAGAACAAGAATTTCCCGTGTGAAGCTGCTTCTTCCTGGTGCAAACTTCCTCTAACTCTTCACACCTGGTTGGTGTTAAACTGCTTGTTAAAATGTTGCCTCTAAGGTGGAACACTTCCTGACAACCTCATTTAAATTTCCCTGTTTCCCTGGCAGACTCTTCTTTTCCTTCATAGCAGTTAAGCCAACTTGAACTTAGATAATTATTTGCATATCTATACATATAAATATACTGTATCTCCCCCACTATACTAAGTAGTTAGTAACTACATCCCTAGCTACTATCATGGGGTCTAGTATAGAGTTGAGAACTCAATACACATGTTTTAAATAAATAAATGCCGAGTGAATTAATGAATGCCTCACAGCAGGTGCTGGCAAACTACTGCCTGTAGGCCAGTCACATGTTTTATAAATAAAGTTTTATTGAGACACAGCCATACACACTCTGTTAAGAATTGTTATGGCTGCCTTCGCGCTTCAATGGCAGAGTTGAGCAGCTATAGCAGAAACCAAACCTATAATATTACTAGTCTGGCCTTTAGGAAAAAGTTTGCCAAAGTCTGCTCTACAGTAAAACATCCATTCTGATCATAAAAAATATGCTGTCATTATTATTTACCCTGTCCACCTAAGTCCCAAATTGCCATCCATTGAATACATACTAACTTTAATCACCAACATTAAATAGAAAACTGAATACCAAACTATTAAATTTCTCTACATGTAATATTTTATTGATGACTTCTACTTTATTCCTTAATTGGCTAAAGAACTCCTTAAAATAATCCAAACTTTAAAATAAATAATACGTGTTACATATAAAAATTTCATAAAAGTCTTACCAGTGGGCATATCTCAGTTTTATGGAGAGCATTGAGTTATAATGCAAAGCACTGACTCAATTAGGAACCTATAAAACAAAGAGGATTTATCTGTAATATGAAATTTCCAAATAAAAATTATAAAATATTCTTCATGCAAGATTATGTCATTGTTTGTTCACTACCTTACCAGATTTATACCAAAAAGCTAAGTTCCCTTATCCCTTATGCAAATGACTTGAATACATCTGAATCAGTTTAAAGTTTTAAAGTGAAGCAAACTGGACTACTAGTAAAGTATTTATATATTTGAAACAAATTTTTTTTTAATTTTTGAAAGGCAATAAACATGTAACTTAGAACGTTAATACACTTTTTAAAGATTTTCAGTGAAAAATGAACATTGCAGTGCACTTTTAAGAAACCAAACACCACCTCAGGACTGACTTTCCCGAAAGCATCACTATTACATCTGTAAAGTATGCTTGTGGGCAGCACATTCACAGATAATGAATTTAACATTTCTGTACCTACCACTGAAAATGCTGCTATGCTGGAAAATATTAAGCAAAGCATTCATTCCATTTTCCTCAAATAAATAACCTGGGTATGTATCATTGCATATCAAAACCACAAACTTGGTATATATTCCTGAATTTCCCATTTTATTTAAAGATAGAGGTGTATGTCCAAAACAAACATATTAATTCCTGCATTAGAACACAACATGCATATGTTTTTAATAATAAAACTGAAGAGTGTTCAAAAAGAAAAAAGGAAAACAATCTGATTTGACTTAGTAATTATCGGTTAAGGTTCCAGATCCCTGGGGACACACAGTCATGTGTATTAGGGGTACTTTGGACAGAAATGCTAAAAAAAAAAAAAGAATGATCATACAAATACACCTAATTATGTGAGTTAACCCATGTAACAACTATCCAGTACACAGACAAAGCAGTCATCAAATGCACGTTGTAGAAAATCCTCTATTTTACTGATAGGAGTCAGCCTTTACTCTTTCTAATAAATATACAACTAATAAGCCTGGTCATCTATGTTCCAATCTACTCCAAATTAAGAGAAAAAAAAAGGCTGCAAAGGCAAATGTATCAGTGATTGAAACCTGACAGCACATAAGTAGAAAAATATAAAGCAAATAAGGATTTAACATTTATAGATTCCATGCTCATTCAATACACAGGAAAACAGATGAACTATATCATGCCTATGAGTTATCAAGAAAAGACATTCTTTTCTTTGTTTTCTCTTGAGCAGAAAATTGACGTTTTAGACAATAAAAACTACTAAAGAGATAGGACAAAGAGTCAACTATGATTCTCATGTTCTTCAAGCCAGAATAATTAGACAAGTAGTTCCATTAAATGGAATACAGTGCAGTAGTTTAAAACCCAAATCCTGAAACTAGTCTCCTATAGTTACTTGTGTGACCTTTGGAAATGTTTTCTCATTTGTAAAATAAATCTAACAGTAACTAAGGAGGGAGAGGCAAAGGATTGTTGTAAGGGTTACATGATTAAAAGGTTAAAACAGTACCTTAGACAGAACAGGCATCAATAAACATTAGCTACAACTATAATAGATACTTTTTTTTAAATTGAAGCACAGTCAATTACAATGTGTCAATCTCTGGTGTACAGCACCATGTCCCAGTCATGTATATACATACATATATTCATTTTCATATTTTTTCCCATTAAAGGTTACTACAAAATATTGAATATAGTTTCCTGTGTTATACAAAAGAAAGTTTTTTAAAAATCTATTTTTACATATAGTGGCTAACATTTGTAAATCTCAAACTCCCAAATTTATCCCCTCCCATCCCCTTTCCCCAGTAGCCATAAGATTGTTTACTAAGTCTGCCAGTCTGTTTCTGTTTTGTAGATGAGTTCACAGTGTCTATAGATACTTCTTATGGGGGCACTCAGTGAGCTTAGTGGGGCATGTTGAGCTGGGTATCTGACGGGTGCTAGGCAGCTATAAGCACTGGCTCTATTGTCAGATCCCCAGATTCAAATCCAGTTCGACCTTTCAGTAGATTAAGCTGAGGTCTCTGTGGACCTCAATTTCCTAATTCTTCAAAGGAGAATAATAATAATAAATCACTCATAGAGTTTTTGTAAAGATTAAATAAGAATATGCAAGTCAAACACTTAGCACAATACCTAGAGCATAGCAAGCCCTTCAAAAGTGACAGCTGCTTTTTGTGTGTGTTTTTGTGTGTGTGTGTATACACATATACACAGTATACATGTGTGTACACACACCTGCATGTGGGGCAATACATCCATGCACATATATTCAGATTATGTTTGGTAAGCAGTGTAGTAATCCAGCAAGCAGATAGAGGCTGAAGATTTGGGCATCATTTACATTTGTGATGGCTGCAGGAAAAAAAAGTGCCAAAGACAGAATTCTGGGAACCCCAAAAAATAAAGTAAAAAGACATCAGAGAGGTGAAAACTAGGAGAGAGAAGTAACTAAGGGAAAAAGAGTTTCAAGAAAGAAGTGGTCTACATTGTGTGGTACCAAGAGTTGCTGCGCGTTTTTAAGAGTGCACTGGATCTGCAGTGAGGAAGTCACATGGGCAAAGTTGTTTGTGGAAGGCCAGAAACCTGACAGCCACAGGTGGAGGGATGAATGGAAGGTAAGACCTGTAGAAGAAACGTGTGTATGATTCTTCCTAAAATTCTCCTTCCAACTGTCTTCCCCCATCCCTTGCCCCGAAAGGCAGTGACATGAGGCAGTAAGCTTTGAGGGACAAAAAAAACTACAGAAGGAGTTTGCTGTTTAAGATTGTTTCCATGCTTCTATCACCCTACCCTTTAAAAAAATAAACCATCGTCTACACTGCAACCAGAGGAACTTTCTAAGAATACAAATGTGATGGTATCATTTCTCCGTTTAGACCTCTTCACTAACTCCCAATCACTCATTCACTAGAAAAAAAATATGAGGCCCTGACCACCAGGGTCCAAGGCTACTGATGAAATGACCTCTTGCCTTTTTTCTACCTCTCTTTCCCCAACCACACTTCTCCACTGTAAGCTCCAGGCATTTGAAACTACTTACAAGCCCTCAAACATGCCAAACTTTCTTGCCTTCATACCACTACCTATACGCCTCTTTCTCCAGAGAAATGCCCTTCTTCTCTCTCTAACAAACTCCTAACTATCCTTTAACACTAAATGCAAACAGTCTCTTCTCCGGGGAGCTGTCTCCATAAATAAACAAAATTCTAAATATGGTTTTAAAAAACTTCTGGTATTTGAATTCCTTTCAAATGTACTTTTAAAAAATTCCCAGTTAAATATTTCTCCTATGTGCTCCTATGGTGCCTTGATCTTCATACCTCATACCTCCTTCTGCCTCAGCCCTGAATTTTCACCCTGCTGAAATGTTCTGTGACCACCACCAAACAGCTAGCTTGTGGCAGGCTGGGCCTATGCTGTCTTCGTGGATGTAGTCCCATTTCAAAAGGAGGGGGGCAGTAATAATGATTCTACGGCAAAAATATTCAGGCTCTTGTTTTAACACTTATTGAATGTCTGGTCTAGGGCAAGCTACTTAATTTCATTAACTCTTGTTTTTTATTGTTTTATTGTTTTCTTTTTTTCTTGCCTGGGAAATTGAAATGGCACCTACTATATTGTAAGGAGAAAATACTGAAAAACAATGTGATCAGCACAGTCACTGGCACATTGCTTTATGTCCATTATTACAGTATTAAAAGTAAATAATTATGTGACAGATAAGATACATTAACTAGTTATTTCCATTATTTACCATTATTTAGTAGTTTAATGAACAATTCAATTAATAAACAAAAATTATTTAATGATATACACATCAAAACATTACAGAAATGATTATCTCTAAATGTTAGTGTATGTTACAGCAAATACATTATACAATTAATGACTAATATTAGATATGTAACATCATCAGAAAAAATTAAGGTCAAACTTAAAATGACATCCATGAACCTTATATACGTCATTAGGTTTAAAAGCTTCTCCCTCAAAAACCCTTTTACACGACCTGCTAAGAGATACGAAATTGGAAAATTAACTGCATTACATTTCATCTCATTTTACTTTCTCTCTAAACACCTGATTATCAGCCAATGAATGACTAAAGAACACAGGAAGAAAAAGCAGAGGCTTGGATAATTCATTCCATAACCGAATTTTATAACGCAGGAAAAAAGGAAACAAAAACCTTGTATACATAATTCAATTAATAAATCAAGATAGTCTCCATAAGTATTTAAGATTCTAAATACGATTTTAAAAAATTTCGGTGTCTGAATTTCTTTCAAATATTTTATTTCTCAGAGTCCTCATAGCAGGCAATCTTCTTCCTGAAAGCGCAAGCACTAACAGCAATCGTAAACGCAACAGGTGAAAAAACTGTTAGCATCCTTTTCTCAAAAGAAGGAAAAGCCGTATACACCTCAGTCGATGTTTTCACAGTAATTCTGAAATGCAGCACAACCATTTGGTAGGGATTCCTAAATAACATACTTTTTTTTTCTGCTTGTATACATATTGAAACGACCCTATTAATGTAACTTGACTCCTAAACGTAGCACATCGATCACTTTTTATCAGGTGTAATTAAAAAGGCATTTCATAGATTTAAGCTTCAGCACCAGGTTGACAGCCTAAAAGGAAATAAACGTACTTAGTACGCATTTCATTCAAACGCTGTTAAACCAGAATCCGGAGACATAAAGTTAAAGATTGCATTCCCTCTTTCCGGACACCACGCTAAACGCTCTGGAGAAGAACCCAGGAAAGGGAACAGGAAAGTACGTAGACGTACCTCTCGAAAACCACCTCGCTCCACTCGGCGGCGCTGG